CATAGAGAGTCTTCAGAAATCTCTGTCTGTCCACCTGGAGTAGGGACAATTATCACAACAATGTCATATTCTAATTAAAATCACTTTTAATTATTTACTTTGGGGGGATTTTTAAAAAATAACTGATAACAGCAGGGTACCTTTGAGATACATGTATGTCTTTTAAATGATACTTTCAAAGTAATACTTAGGGGAGATGTCTTCAAAAATGGAGAAAAAAAAACCTATAAGCCTGCGCGCCACATTAATTTAAGTGAAATGAATAAAATTAGCTACAGTGTACAGCCACTCAATATCATAATACCCTTTTCATAAAATACCCTAAAAAGTTGACAATTTTTTCCATCTTCACTTAATTTTTAAAGATTTTTTGAGATATTTGAATTATATGATTTGTATCTTGATCAGTGTCAATTATTTGTTTTTCCATGGAAAATGTTAATCAGATATTGTCAGGGTATAGGTGACTTTTAACACTAGTTACATCTACCATACATGCTATATGTCACCTATCCTTATTGATAATGTGACATATTCGGAACACAACAGATTATTACTGCTGAAACCCACTGGGCCCACATACAACCCTAGCTGCTTTTGTAATGCCAGTAACCATGGCAACTAAGGAAGGGTGGTGTGCATTAGGAAAGGTATTGTCAATTGTTGTAAGACTCCCTGCCGTCCTGCTCTTTTTAAAGTTGGTCATAATTATCAGACTAGCTGGAGGTATGCACAAGGATCTAGGGAGGCTTTATCGCATTCACCAAGATATGAACTGGTTCCCTGCTGGGCTTGTCTAGAGCGCAGCACAAAACTCACGTTTCACCTGGTTAATCAAATCCTGCCTCTCATAAAACATACATTTTATGGTCGATACCGTGTTGGGAAAGTTACCAGGAACAATGCTTTTAAATCAAGGATTGAAAAACATAAATATTAAAAAGCAATATTTCTAAAATAATTTCATGTCATATTGAAATGCTTTAAAATTAAAACTGTCAATCATTTATGAAAGACTGATACAGAAAAATGTAATTTTTGTAAAACATTTATTAATAAAATTTTATCCTATGCATAGACCATTGCTCTCAAGAATTTAATTTCAAATTAAATGTTACCTTAAAAACAATAATTTATACATTACTTAGTTAAAGGAGTTAAATCCTTAAGAAGTAAAAGCATCTAATCCCATCCACCCACACAAAATTAAAGATATATTTCACTTCAATAATCAATTATTAACATAAACTATTAATAAGTTAGAAGGAATTTGCATTTTAGTGAAATATAGGACTTTCAGAATAAAACTGAAAATCCCTGGCCTCTTAGGGTCAGTGGTTATTCAACTCATTGATGTACCATATATGAAAGAAAAGGACATTTAAAAAATAATTTAATATATTAATTTGATTTTTAGTAACTTTATTAAATTAAAATTTTTTTTTTCTATTTCAGACACAGCATATAAGTATGTTATTCCTCTTAATACTAGCACATAAATTATTAATAGGTTTGAAGGTTAATATTGCAAGAAATGGCTAACTTTCTTAGAAATTTGACTGATTCTGTACAGAATTTACCATATTTTGAATTATTCACTTTCATATGTTAAAATAATTTCTTTTATTCCAACTGGCCATTCAAAACTCTTTTTCCCTCTGTGTTTAGGATCAATGTGTGCCTTGGATTTTAAGGCCACATGCAGATATTATGAAATGAAAGCCTCATGGGCCATTATATACTCATCTGAGTTACTTAAGCCTCACTGTTCTTCATCAGGTTTAAAAAGATTTTCACATACCCATAAAACATTGTGATCTTATATAAAGGGCCATAGACCCTAAGAGTTCTCTGAGTCCAAAGCATGAGGCTGTTTCAATATTAAACTATTAAAATGACAAACTTTCAAGTTAATCATGTGCTGATATTTGATGTTGAAGATTTTTTTATGTATTGAACAATTTTTTTCATTTACAAGGATATCTGAATAAATACAGGGGTAACTTTTAATTAATAAAAGTTTAAACTATCAATTTTACAATCAATTGTAAAATATGACTCTTTGCTATTCAAATTGATAGTAATTTGATTGAAGTTTGAAACGCTACATCCAATATGTGTCATTTAAAAATGAAAGAAATACTCTAGAGCTGAGAATTAGCATCATATATACCAAAAATATGGAGTCGTGGTCTTAACTCACCAGGTGAACACTCAAAGTTTCGGTGATCCATGAACTGGGTCAGGTTACAGAAGACGGCCCCACAGGTGTCGCAGCGTAAATCCGAGGATTCCTCCGAGTCAAATTTGACCAGTTTGGCCGCTGGACCATTCAGGTCAGGGTCTGACTGGACGTCATCTGGTGAGCTGTACCCTGTAACTCCTGAAGGAAAGAAAAACATTCTCAGAAAATACAGTCAAACTTGTATAATCTGAATGTTGTGTATTCCAAAATCTTGATGATTACTGTGTTAACTTAATTTCTTTTCAGTAATTTCAATTATTTTAAAATGTCTGGAAAAGTTGTTTGATCTGGCCAATTTCTTTTAACAGGGGTGGCCAGATTAAACTAATTTTGCTGAACATTTCACTTTATAAGCACAGGAAACTTCTTGAGTACTTGGCGATTTGGACCAGGAATATTAGTCTGGATGGCACAGTGGTACATGTAGGTCACCTGATTGTAGTAATGAAAGGGTCACTTTTGATTTGTATTCTTTTTCTCCTAGTAGGCTACTACACTTCATAACTTGATTCCTAGGTTTCTGTTTTCTTAACTGTTACATGTACATGTATGGCTTCTAAATATATTATGTTATACTGCTTAGCAAAAAGTATGAGCATCTGAAAACTTATTCTTTGTAAATGAAACTAACACTCTTTCATAAAGGCAGAATTTGGTTGAGTGAGAGGTTGTTATAGACATGCCATTGCAATTTTGAAACTAACACTCTTTCAAAAGGGCAGAATTTGGTTTAGTGAGTGGTTGTTATACAAATGCCATTCAGTAATATTGTAAAGGGTTGCATATGTGGTTCACTTTTACACCTGTGGTTTTTATACAGTTTGAGTTTCTAATTGGTAAGAATTATAAATCATTTCTACATGTATTCAAACAAGAATTCTGAGTACATTATAGCCCCCCCCCCCCACCCCCACCAGCAAGTGTAATCCAGTTCCCCATAAAAATTAAAAAGATTTTAATTCTGAAAAAAAAATCATGAAAGAAATGCAAACTATATACTCATCTACCAAAAATTAGCTCCACCTAAGAGTTTAAAAAAAATTAAAAAAAGAACAACAAGTAAAGCCTGTCAGACATACAGACAAGGAGGAAACATAATCCCCTCATCAGGTTTCACTGGTGTGTGTGTGTGTGTGTGGGGGGGGGGGGGGGTTATAGTCACAATAAGAGATAATTTTTCACAGTTATGCACATTAGAGGACGTACCCTCTGCTTTTCTGAAAGCTACATAAAAGATCAACCTAATGTAATATATTCACAATTAATTATATCAAGTGTATGAAAACTGCAGAAAAATGACTTTTGATTTTGAATATTTTGAACTGGATATAGAGGCCTTAAAAATGCCTTGCAGTGGAATGAGATATTATTGACAGAAAATTTGTATTTAGCTTTGTAAAATATATCAGGATAAAATGAAAGGAAAATGTATGTCAATAATTCCCCTGATAAATAGCTTTTTACAAAAATAAATAAAATTAATAAAGCTCTGTCCTTGGACAAGGTTAATGTTAAATTAAAGGGCAGGCTCTGAACATCAAAGAAGCAATATAAAAATCTTAACCTAAGTACATGTAAGGTCATGACCTAGTTTAAGAAGTTGACCTTTATGTATAATTCAACAGTTTTACCTTGTTCAGGAGACTGGCCTTTCTGCGATGAGATGGAAGCTCTACTGGTCTCCTCTTCACTTCCTGCTGGTAGATTTTCTCCTTCTTCATCATCACCTGCAACAAGGTTTTTTTTTTTTCTTTTATTCAAAATAAGCTGAAATTGAGGTGAAGTTTTTCACACAAGTGTCAAATGGAAACAATGGTGTATAGAATAAAAATTAAACATCTAGTTCAGGTTGTCTACTGGGTTCCCTCTACAGTAGGGTATTTACACAGTGGGAGGGTTGACCCCATACACTGGTCTTTCATAAATGAATTAGTTTGAAAAGTAATTAACAAAAAAAGGTTTGTAACTAACCAAATTTTATTATAAAATCTTTGAAAATTATATTTTATATCATGTTCTTAAAATCAATTTATCTTTATTTTTTTAAATTTAAAAATTATTTTTCCTTTATCATTTTTACCCCCCCCCCCTCAACAAAATAATTAGCATCAACTTTTAATACCTAATTGTGTTGTATCCAATGCTTAATTACTTATATTCAATGGTGACATAAAGAGAACTTCAATTTCTTATAGAGACAAAATTAAATTTGATGTCCGATTTCATTAAATCAATTAATTTGAAATAAAATGAACAATTATGAATATAAGTAAATTTACTTTACTTACGTTTGCACAGCCTTGGTCGAGCTTGTTTTCTTCGTGACATTTTAATCTACTGTATAAAAAATAGTGTCTTTTGCTGTTCAATTGTTTAAATCCCAAACAAAATCACCTACTCTGACAATAAATTCATTCTTCCTTTTTTTCTTTTCTCTCTTTTATGTAAAAGGACGTCTATTTGAACCAGCCGTCAGGAGAGGAAAGCGTTTGCACAAGTTTCCACTGAAAGCTTAAACACAGCATGTGGGATTTTTGCTGTCGACGTCAGAAATAAATATTGAATAGCTCTGTAACTAAAGCACCCCCTGGGGAGGGTCCATTGGGAGTTCGGCGCGCATCGACAGCTGCGCGGCTCGAAGTCCCGCGCGACCTAGGCTGATCGTAGAATCAATACTGGTAATTTCAGCCGCATTAGCTGGGTGTATGGAACTATAATAAATGATCCGATCCAGCTTTCCTGAGGGAGGCGGTGCATGCTGGCGGTCCCAGCAGGGTTCCTTTCAATCATCGAGTCGTCTTACCTAAGTCAAATTGAAAGTAGGTTTGCGCTAATTCTAATGAAAGGGAAATAACTCTCAAGTAAACACACGACTTTCGTTTTGATCATCTTTCAGTAACGTTATACTTTGATTTTCATAAAAATTGCATGGGTTATTTAAAGTCACGCAGCACCAAGAGGCTGGCCTCTTTCCCCCAGACATCTTTCTACTTTAGAAAATAATCATTGAAAGTCCGCCCCCCCCCCATTTTTTGTTCAAATATGGGTGTTGAAGTACATGTATGTAGTGGTAAGTATTACTAGCTGAAAGTAGTACAGTACCACCACCCTTTTAATGACTGGAGTTACAGAAAAGAACAGTATTGAGAAACCAATAAAGTTTTTGTTCATTATCTAAAGCTAAGAAACTTGTATGGAAATCTATTAATTAGATCTAACTAACTGAAATATTTCTCTTTTTATTGATGATCATGCCTTTTTTTTAACATGTTATCAAAAAATCAGATATTCAAAAATCTGAAAGTTAAATCATTTCTCTTACACACCTATCTTCTCAAAAAATTGCCATTCGTTTAATTTTCTTATTTTTGTATATTTGTGACATGACTATAAAACCATGTATGCACATTTTGGAATGTAGAGATTTTTAACAACTTCCTCTTTAACATTCAGTAATTTTCTTAGAGAAAATTTTTAAATAGCAAACCATTTAAACCTTGCATTCAAAAAAGCTTTTTTTTTTAAATGTTTCAAATTTACATTGGAAATTTTTATACCATTTAACACAAAAACAAATATTTTTTTATAAGACTTTCATCAAAATAATTTTTAAAGACCTAAAACTGAAAAACTATGAATTACTATAAGTCATTTATAAATAAAATGAAAACTTTTCAAATATGAAACTTTTTGTGCAAAAACCCCCCCCCCCCTAATTTTGGTACACACCCACCACCACCAGCAGCAGCAGCAAAAATAATTTTTGATTTTTTGTATAATTTTTGTACAGACATTTTGACTTTAATAGATGAGCATTAAAAATAGCTGAAGAAAGGACACATTCCAAACTGTCTATTCAAGGTACGAATTACTAAATGATAATACTTTGTTATATGCATTTACAAATACACACTAAAAAAATTAAATTCGGAATATTGCTTTTGCTCCATTCAAAATATATTAACTTACAAATTTAAAAGTTCTCATATGTAAAGCGTATTTAAATGTAGATTTTTAGCCAATTTTTGAAGACGACGAAGAAACGTTCATTTCCATTGGAACTCCTTTAGAATTCATTAATGAAGGTGAATGAAATACAAACACCTGAAAAAAATCAATCAATCAATATTTAACACATTTGTTGTCATAGGACTTAGATATTTTTTGCAAGAAAGTTTATAGATGTTTTTGTCGAACAGGTCCAGCACAATATGTAGCTTGATCAAGGTATTTTATGTAATGAAAATTCAAAAAAATTCTTTTTGTTAAATTACTGAAAGTTGATTTTTAATTTTTGTCATTAAAAAAATGCATGTAAAGTACTCAAACACAAACAAATCAGAATAAAAACGTAATTGTGAGACGTTATTTTATGCTTTCTTATTTCATACCAGTGTTTTTCATGCACGTGTAGACACACTGACAAAAATTCAGAACTCGACTTTCAGTATTTAATTTTTAAAGAATTTTTTTTGAATTTTCATTACTAAATTTAAAATGATCAAGGTATTTTAAATACCTTGATAAAGCTATATACCTTTATTGGGGTATTGTGCTGGACCTGTCGAATATGTCATACAAGTTGCAAGTTTATTTTTTTCTGATGGGTAAATGTATATGCAATCGAAGCCTACTTCTGGACTCTCGTGGAAAGAGTAAATAAAACTGAATTTGATATATTGCACTGTCATAGTAATGTGAAATTGAATTTTATACAACACAATGTTGTAATAAAATAAACCTGATTCTCATATAGGCCAACACACTGTCGTTATAAAATAAAAAATGAATTACATATAACTCACTGTTGTAATTAAAAAAAAAAAATTCTGATTTTCATATAACACACAGTTGAAATATTAAGTGTTACTTAGTTAGAATGATCTACATGTCTCGGTACAAGCCCTCACCACAGTTAGAATACGTCCCATATACTTGCAATGTAAAAAGTTTTTTTGTTTATTTATTGTTTTATTTTGAAGAATATAAAAGGATTTGCACTGGAAATAACTACCAAATTAATCAAAACTAGTGATGGAACGATTGTCGCCGACAATCGATTGTCGGTCGTTAGAAGCTCTTCGATGCTACTAATCGATTGTAAAATAAATGTCGCCGACATCGATCAACAAAAAATAAAATTGTCATACTTTAATTTTATTACCAAATCCAAGTGCAGAGAGCATAAAAGTAGTGATGAACTTTGAAAACATGGAAGGATTCCGTGTTTGTTGAAAAATACTTATGATTAAATATGGGGTTAGACTAATACCAGGAAACGCTAATATTGCAAGGTTTTACTATTCAAAGGAAAACATAATTAGTCTAGTCAATCTTTAAACGTAATTATTATCATAAATACAAGTCTAACTTCTTGATAATTACTTTTAAAACTTGCAATTTTATTATTTTAACTAAGTAAAACTAATGTTAAGAAAAATATACATGTATTAAATGTGTAGAAGTTCAGGCTTTACGAACCGTGGATATCGGCCTGGATAGCTCAGTGGTTAGAGCACCTGACTAACTAATAAATATTTCTCTTTTTATTGATAGTCATGTTTTTTTTACATGTTTTCAAAAAATGATTTTGGCCAGTGTGGGGGGCCTTGTTCAGGTTACAGTGTATGTGTAAAATAATTCCTGGCAGGGCCATTCTAAATCTTGTGTCTTGAGGTTAAAGACTGTTTTAAGGAGGGATTTTCTTTGATTAGAATTTTTAACAACTTCATCTTTAACATTCAGTAATTTTCTTAATTTCTGTTTAAATAGCAAACCATGAGTCCTTGCCATTCACATAAAGCTTTTTTTTTTTCGTGCATTTCTCCTTTCAAATACATTTGGTGGCCAGTGTGGAAATTTCAATATTACAGTGTATGTGTAAATTATAATTCTTTCTTTGCAGGTTATATGGATAAAACTGTGTCTTCGAGGTCGAAGACTGTTTGAAAAATAAAATGAAAACTATTATACTGTTACGAACCGTGGATATCGGCCTGGATAGCTCAGTGGTTAGAGCACCTGACACACACACACTCACCCACCACCACCACCAGCCATATGTTTTTGTTTTCTCCTTTCCTACTACAAATGAAAGGTGGGACTAATATCAGTAAAATACCCATTGCATGGACTTTATAAATAAAATAAAATAAATTCCCATTCTGTTTCAATAGTCTTATATCATGTATATAGTCTTATATTGTTTAAAGTAAACAAAATATTATTTTCCACTTTTTATAAAAGACATTTCAATTAACATTTTTGAATATTTTAGGTAAGTAAATGTTTTTTTTTGTAAAAGTCGACAGAAATCTGAAAAGTTTCAACTTTTCTATATTAGTTTTATTAAAGTTCATTAATTTCGATTATGATCGATTATTAATCGATTATGCCCAGCCGATTAAAAATTAATTGATTCTATTCATTTTTTTCGATTCTTGGATCACTTTTCAAAACAAACCTTTTTGAGATTGTTTATGCCTTTTTGAAAATAATCCATCTAAAGACGAAAATCCAATTAATTTTATTTTTTCTGCTCGCTTAAATTTATGCCATGTTTACATTCAAAGCTCTCTAGACTTTTCGTGAAAAGAGTAAATGCACTGAGTTATAGATATATTGCACTATCATAATAATGTGAAATTGAATTTTATACAACACACTCATGACTGTTGTAATAAAATAAACCTGATTCTCATATAGGCCAACACAACTCCCGATTTTCATATACACACAGTTGAATTATTATGGTAAGTGTTACTACTGAGTAGAAAAGTGAATCTTTCAGATGAACCCATACAGAAGCCACAGAAGGAACTCCAGGCAGTGGGGGTGGGCACGAAAGCCAGACCTCGCTTCCACGGGGCCTTTACTGGGGGATTCTCTGCAGGGTACTTCAACACGGTTGGCTCCAAAGATGGTAAAGTGTATTTATACATCATGCTGGATTTTGAAGCTTGGAATCTTGTTAACTATTTTATCTAAACTCAGAATTTATTAAATGGGACACATTATTGAAGGCTTTTTATTTGTTAATCATATACATAAAACTTGTTGATTAGTTATAAAGCATGTTAAGTACCTCAGTTATTTTTTTTATAGGATTCACACCATCCAGTTTCAGCTCCTCTAAGGATAAAAAGAAAGAGTTTACCACACAGAGACCCGAGGACTTCATGGATGATGAAGTTAGCAGCTCTCTTTTATATCTATACCTTATTTATAGCTTCTAAAAAAGAACATAAAAGGAAGAAATACAATTTATTTATGGAATCTTTGTCAACTGTGTCTCTGATCTGTTGTTCTCTTATAAGTACCGGTAAATAATGAATCCCTTGGCCATTAAATGTTTATTTGTTTTGAACATATTTTATTGACAATACTGTAGAAGTATTTTTTTCCGTGTGGTATTAATTTACGCTATGTCGCGGTCTTTTCCGGCCATGTAAATATAAATGTAAGGCATGTTGATTTGTTTTGAACATATTTTATTGACAATATATCAAAGGGATTAGACGCAAGTTCCAAAAACTTAGATGCAAGTCCTAATTTTAGTCTTTTTCAAAATGATAATATCATGCATGGCAGTGTTATTATTGATTATAACTAAACTATGCTTAATCAGAGGAACAGAAAATTTATTGAGTTAAGTTTTTAAAATACACTTTGTTTAAATGATTCCAGGACTTTACAGAGCATGGAATTGCCCCAAAGAAATTTCAAACATCGGAATCATTTTTGTCTGAAGACAGGAAGCGGAGGCGAGATTTGGCCATTAAATCTGCCACCACTGACACTTTATTTGGATCCACCACTGCCCTTGCTGACCTTATTATCCCAGAAAAGTTTGTACAATTTACCAAACTAGCACAAAATTGTATGAACTGATGAAAAAAGGAAATAAATTACACTGACTTGTAGATATCTGATAATCTGTCATTTATAAAGTAAATGCATGTATACATGTATATATCACAGGAAGATCCATATTGATATTAAAAATAAAATAGCATGAATAAACAAAAATTATACTATATCAATTACAGCATGTTTAACGCTACCTTTGTGAGTAAATTCCACTGGAGAATGAATATTCATGCATTTAGTGTCATGCTTATTATATATGTATGACAGGTTGACTATCGGAGTGAAGCTTCTACGCAAAATGGGCTGGAAAGAGGGACAGGGGATGGGTCCACGTTATGAGAGGAAGAAAAAATCTTCAAATGTCTCAAAAGGTAATGAAATGTAAAGTCTTAACATATCTCAATAATTACTCCCTCATAAAAAGTTGAAGAGAATATAGTGACAAATTTAAGGGTTGATAATGGAATCAATAATTTTTTATTGGGGTGGATGTGCTCCCTTGCAGGGGAATACTGTGCTCTGCAGTGTCCTCATCATTTTTAGCTCTACTGGTCAGAGACCAGAAGAGCTTATGCGATAGTAATGTGTCCGGCGTCCGTCCGTCTGTCTGTCTGTCTGTCTGTAAACAATTTTTCAAAACGCTACTCCTCCTACAATTTTAGTCTGATTTCAATATAGCTTGGCACACAAGTAGACTACACTAAGATACATAAAATAGTGCATCGGTTTTTGATTTCGATGAACGGTGTTGCCATGGTTACTAAAAATAGAGTTTTCTGAGAAATTCCTTTAAAACGCTACTCCTTCTACAGTTTTGGTCTGATTTCAAACTTAACTTGGCACACAAGAAGACTACACTAAGATGCATAAAATAGTGCATCGGATTTTGATTTCAATGAACGGTGATGCCATGGTTACTAAAAATAGAATTTTCTGAGAAATTCCTTTAAAACGCTACTCCTTCTACAGTTTTGGTCTGATTTCAATATTACTTGGCACACAAGTAGACTACACTAAGATACATAAAATAGTGCATCGGTTTTTGATTTCAATGAACGATGTTACCATGGTTACTAAAAATAGAATTTTCTGTGAAATTCCTTTAAAACGCTACTCCTTTTACAGTTTTAGTCTCATTTCAATATCACATGGCACACAAGTAGACTACACTAAGATACATAAAATAGTGCATCGGTTTTTGATTTCGATGAACGATGTTGCCATGGTTACTAAAAATAGAATTTTCTATGAAATTCCTTTAAAACGCTACTCCTTCTACAGTTTTAGTCTCATTTCAGTATCACTTGGCACACAAGTAGATTACACTAAGATGCATAAAATAGTGCATCGGTTTTTTTTCGATGAGCGGTGTTGCAATGGTTACTAAAAATAGAATTTTCTGAGAAATTCTTTAAAAGCTACTCCTTCTACAGTTTTGGTCTGATTTCAATATTACTTGGCACACAAGTAGACTACACTAAGATACATAAAATAATGCATCGGTATTTGATTTTGATGAACGATGTTACCATGGTTACTAAAAATAGAATTTTCTGTGAAATTCCTTTAAAACGCTACTCCTTCTACAGTTTTAGTCTCATTTCAATATCACTTGGCACACAAGTAGACTACACTAAGATACATAACCATGTTGCCATGGTTACTAAAAGTAGAATTTTCTGTGGAATTATTTTAAAACGCTACTCCTTCTACAGTTTTGGTCTGATTTCAATATAACTTATCACACAAGTAGACTACACTAAGATACATAATTCTGTGCATCGGTTTAAATTGATTTTTAAATACAAACCAGTAGGGCTACAGTCTCGACAGAGACTTCTGGTTATATCATGGTTCTTCTGACATTACTTGAACATATTATTTAATTGATGTTTTGATTTTTTGAAATTTATACTGCATATTTTTATAAATTCCTTTCTTTTATCATGATAGCTGGCTCTCAAAGAAAAGTATATGGCTGCCTTCTACCAGAAGAAGAGAGTGAGGTATGGTGTTTAAAGGGAAATAAAGCTACTTTCAATAATAGAAAAATTACAAATGTATAATACTTTATTCATGTAGGGAATTTATTCCAAGAGTTAAGTTTTAAAATATTTCTATCTCCTTACACAATTGGGGTTTGATGATTTCATAGATCAAGTTTAAAATAAAACTGAACTCCTTTTGTTTGCATGGTTACATTGTCTAGCAGGAATGATAACTCTGAATCAAATGTTTTACTCATGATGATTTAGTGTCTGTTAGCCATCACCATAAATTTTACTAAAGGAGTTAAACTCCTTGTGTTCAAAAAATATTTATCAGGTTGAAGTATAAAAAAAATTTTCAACCCCCCTTGATTAAATTTACTGTGCAATCCATGTGCAATCCATGGCAATGTTAAAAAAAAAACCAAGAGGGTAGTGCATTTCGTCTGACAATGAAATAATCATAGATAGAATTACTGAACATTTTCATCAATATAAAGTAAAGCATTTTATTGAAAACTTATAAGTTATATACCACTGTAAATTGCTTTTTGAATTCATGGATTAAGCAATGCTGTATTTTTTTTTACTGTAAATGTTTTAACTGTAAGTTATTTTCATCCATATAATAACAATTTTAGTGTCATATAAATGTATTTTATCAATGATATTTCATCATTTAAAATAATTGATGGATAAAAAAGGCTTAAAATATATAATTTAACTTAATTTTCATAACCAGAATTTGCAAGTAACTTTATGACAAATTAAATGATGAAATGGCCTTATAAAGTTAATCAAGATATTCTGACATTTTCAGGATTCAGGCGATGAAGTCCCAGAAAATGTGACTTTTGCCCCCCGTGATGTTAACCCCAGTAAGATACAAGCCAAGGACAATGTTCATGGTATTGGATACCGTGGCCTTGACCCCAGAAAGGCTCTTCCTGGCAGCCATGTTAACCTGTTTGCCGCACCCGCCATAACGAAGACAGGCAAAAGAGGCATCAGAGGAACGGTATGTAGTATTGTTAAAGGCATTAAATTTACAACATTCCATTTAATTTTGGCATTATTTTTTTGATACAAAGGGAAAAAGATATAGCTGTTACAATATTTCTTTAAAATACACAATTTAAAGCAGGCTATTACTTCTAGTAAATTTTAGACAAATTCTCTAAAAACACAGAAGACTAAATTTACATGTAGGAAAAACATTCCTCCTTGCTGAAAAGATAAGAGGTACCTTTTTATATGAAAATCACTGTTGCGGGCATTAAAAGATATATAGGTAGCTTTTTATGCAAAAACCACCAATACATGTATTGATTGAAACACTGCTGTACACTTAGACATTTTAGCACAAGTGAATGCATAAAATTATCACTGAGAATTTTTTTTGGTGACATCTTTTAGATTTAGAGTAACATTTCTGGCATATTATCTCAAGACAATAACATTTTTGTAATATGTACCTGGAGATGTTAAACATTAGATGACTGTTTTTTCTCATCAGGCATTTGGGGTAGGGGCCCTGTAATGTATAGCTGGAAATGTTGACATTTAAGGACTCTCTAAACACTGAACACTAAAGAGGTCTATTTATAAGGTACTTTTATGCACTTAGAGTGATCTGCCCTTCGATGTAAGATCAAATAAATTGTTATTTACAGTTAATTACATGATTTGTAATAGATTAAAATATTTTTAGCATTATATAAGACCAAGAGTAAGAAATTTAGTCAATTATTTTCATTTATTTTCCCAATGTAAGAAAATAACAGTGATTTCTGCTCACAAATAGTCCATTGTCTTTGGACATTAAAGCATGTACTATGTTCTAAATGAATGAAAAAGTCTCAATATATAAATCATTTTATGATATATTTTTTTCTGAGTCCAAAAAACAGTTTCTGTTAGTGTTTAGAGCTTCCTTAATGGACTGTTTTTTCTGGTCAGGCGTTTGGGGTGGGAGCCCTGTAATATCTGGAGATGTTAACATTATTGCTTTTTCTGGTCAGGCATTTGGGGTGGGGGCCCTGTAATATATACCTGTTAACATTAGATGACTGTTTTTCTTGTCAGGCGTTTGGGGTGGGGGCCCTGTAAGATGTTTACATTATTGTTTTCCCGGCAGGCGTTTGGGGTGGGAGCCCTGGAGGAGGAGGATGAGGACATCTATGGACAGGACCACCTCTCTAACTACGACATGACCATGGAGATGGAGGGTGACGATCACATGGGGTGGACAGCTCCAGGGAAGGGCAAAAAACATGGTAAATGTCTCATTACAGGTTGTTAAACAATGTATACATGTATCAAATAAATTCCACAATTTTTTACTTTAAGAAATTGTTCATCAGAAAGACAAATTGAAATTCATTGCATCAAGGATGAGAAAATCTGCACACTTATCATAGTGTTTATAAATGAATTTGCTATATTTTTAAAAACAATTTAAGAAATGGTTCAATTGTACCGGGTAATATGAAATTTTATAAATTCTTATTACATATAGTTATTACTGTTACCCATTCCTCAATTTATAGATGTTCCCCTGGGATATGTTGGTAATTTACTTGAGGGGTTCACCCTGTCTGGGAAGAGACTGCCTCCGAGGAAGATATTCTCTCCTCCACAAATTCCTAGAGACTTCAGGCCCGTCCATACCTTTATAAAGGAGGTCAACACGCAGGATACCAGTAAGAAAACAGAGCAAGATGCGATTTCAAGGGGGATAACTCTTGGAGAAACGCCTGTGTTTGGTAAATATAGTTTAAGATAATTTGGATTCTGTAAAAACAATAAATGATTTAGATATATTATTCTTTGACTTATAAGACTTCCTATATAAATAACTTCTGCTATGCTTTTTTCACACACACACCTCTGTCTTTGATTTGATTCCACAAAAAGACAAGGAAAGATTGAAAACAGCAAAGTCCAGAACAGATCAGCAGAGTGACAATGTCCAGACTCCCAGCATCACAGGGAATAATTCCTCCACTACAGATACCCAGACTGGTCACTCTAAGTCACCATCCATCTCCACTACTGTAGAGGGCAGGGAAGGGACACATCAGCCTGTCCCCACCTCTACTTCTGCCTCAGAAAAATCCCCATTAACCGTTAACCTCCGGACATTGTCAGCAGGAAGAGGTGCTGTGTTTAGTCCCTTCATAAAGGATCCAGACAAGCAGAGAAGATATGACGTGTACACCAAGCTCGTCAAAGAGGGAAATCCAGGTATGATGTGACATGTAAAACTCTGCAATGGTAACACTATGCAAAAACAGTATCTATGATGCTAGAAATTACACATGTGACCATCTCTTTCAATTTGTAAATCAAAAACCTTACAAATAATTTATCTACAAGCAAAAATTAAGGAAAACATTCAGACATACTAAAGATTTCTTTGATTTGTAGACGCTTATGAGGAAGTAGCAGAGGGTCACATGACCGAGTGGGAGAGGGAGAGAGAGAAGGAGGAGTTTGAGAAGGCTGCCAAGTTCTACAAACCGATGGCCGGTATGATGGCATCCCGCTTCACCAGAGCCAAGTACCACGACGACGATGATAAAGTGGAGATGCCGGCTCAGGAGCAGGTACAGAGGATGAATATAGATATTATAGACAGGACACCGGGTATATGCAAAGCTTAATGAGTTAAGATGCATGAATAGATCCTTCATATACACAGTTGTACTCAGTACATAAGCCATCAGGATTTTTAAATCCTATGAATGATTCTTCATGCAAAATGGATTAAAAATGTCATTGATAAACTTTCTGAAATACATAGATTTGTTCGAGTTTGAAGCTTGGACAGGTATGAAAAAAATACTATTCATAGTAATTAGGCTAAACAAAACCAATTCTTAAAATTTTAAGAATATACTTGGATGATGTGTTATTAAGAAATACATCTTAACAGAAGTCCATACAATCTTGCATTTGAATATTTAAATGGCTCAGTATTGTATTTAAAAGATTCTGTCCTTTCTTTGAAAGGGAGATAAGAACGACCGCCAGAGTGCTGCTAGAATGAAGATGTATGGACCATTAACTCGTGATACTTATGAATGGCATCCAGATAGGGTTGTCTGCAAGCGTTTCAACATCCCAGATCCCTACCCAGGGTGAGCAGATCATCTTTCTATCATCATTTTAATTCCTATGTTAATATGCTTTTTAGAAACAGTTTCTGTTAATGTAATTGATATGTTCATGTGTGATATCAGTAATGTCAATGGTGTGTGGCAATGCACTTTGAAAAAATATTTCAGAGTGCGTTAAGAGTGTACATAAACATTTTTTACCTTGGGGACATATATAAAATATGCATAAAACAAAAAAACTCTAGACTTAGATTATAGTAATTGAGAGAATCAATTTGTATTAATTATATCTTTCAAAAAATGTTTTAATTTACATGTACTCATTTAACCTCATTGGAAACAATGAGAAGACAAGTAGAAGAGCTCTCAGCCCAACTCTTTTTTTCTTATACATTGTACATAGCCATCTGTAGCAAATTGAAAGTAGACACCTCCCTCAAAGGTAAGCCCCAATTTTCTATGCCTATATATATCTTTGCAAAACATTTGTGTGCCTAAGACCCCTGTCCCGGTACCGATACCTATGCTACACCGAAATATTTACATTTGCAAATGTTTCCCTTTATATAACACTACTGAAAGCAATGCATATCTATAACTATATAAATAGAGGTTCCTCGTACGTCATAAACGTGCCACGTAATTTCTCTGTGGCGGTCAGCTGGGTTCGATCACCGGTGGCCAGATAGCTCAGTTGGTAGAGCACCTGACCCGACTTTCAGGGGGCCTGGGTTCGAATCCCGGTCTGGTCCACTGCATTTTCTCCTCACCTGTTACATTTGGTGCCGTGACCAGGATCTAAAAGGTGAAAGACCTGCTATGGATGAGCCTTGATTGGGACCAAAGACCTTTAAGGAGGGAGAAAATGCAGCGGACCAGACCGGGATTCGAACCTGGGCCCCCTGAAACTCCGTCCGGTCAGGTGCTCTACCAACTGAGCTATCTGGCCACCGGTGATCGAACCCAGCTGACCACCACATTAATGGTATGGGCCTTGGATATTGGCCTGGATAGCTTAGTGGGTAGAACACCTGACTAGAGATGCAGGGGTCTCAGGTTCGATTCCCGGTCCAGTCATACATTTTCTCCTTTCCTGTTACATCTCTGTGATCTCATAAATATTTGACGCACATGCTGTTGGGTTTGAAAAATTAAACATTTCCTGCATTAAAAGTCATAATCAGGCAAATATAAAATATGAATAAGTTACAAATGTAAATATAAGTTATAAACAAATTTTTCAGAGTGCGTTAATATGGTCGATATTAACACACTTTGTAAAGAAATTTTATTTTTTCAAAGTGTGTTGATTTGGTCTCAAATTTAACGCACTTTGAAAAATTTTTTCAAAGTGCATAATTTTTCAAAGTGTGTTGTAACAATGGTGTTTCCATATGACATATCAGTAAATGTCTATTCCAAATTTTAAAAAAATGTGGTTTGATATACAGTGTATCTAATAATTATCCACATTCTGTTTTCGTTTAGATCTACTATCACTGGTGTCCCCAAAATAAAAAGAGACAAATATACTGTGTTCAACTTCCTGAACTTCTCATCCAATGAACCAGAGGAGCAAAAATCCTCCCCTCAGGAACAGAGATCCATGCCAAAGGAGGGTGAGATCCGGGCTCTTCCTGCTCCTGAGGACAAACAGGGTGAATAGTTTGTATTTTGTTCTTAACTGATCCGGCAGTGTCTGATAAAGCTTTATGCTGATATTAAGGGTCATCGATACTCTGATAAGAGAGATAACTCTTAATGACATAAATGTCTATTATTCCTTTATAGATTTTTCAGGTTGAAGTGTCCTTTTTCCCCACTTTTGCCCCACAAGCTATGCTATAATTGTTTGTATTTTACTTATAAAATACATTTCTTTTGGAAAATCATAAAGGTTCAAGCATCATTTTATATGAGTGAGCAGAGGGTTTATGAACCTTAAAAGAAAATGTGTATAATTAATAAAATCATAGTTTTAATAAGTACATGTATCTATTTTTGAAAACTCTGAGAAGATATTTGAATTGATTTTGAAAAATCATGCTAAGCTTGTCTCTGAATGATGTTTTGATATTTTTAGCTCACCTCAACGAAGTTGGGGGGAGCTTATGTGATACCCTCGGCGTCGGTGTCGGCGTCCCAGGTTAAGGTTAAGTTTTTTGGAGCAGTTTTCTTTTTAATTACTTCTGTGTCCTATACTGATTAGACATGCAAGGAAGATGGTTTTAGTGTGTTTTATTGTACCAGAAAAAGTTTCAGATGCTGCAATTTCAGCAAAGGAATTACCAGGTTAATGTTTTTGGAGCAGGTTAACATTTTTGGTGCAGTTTTTGGTGTGGGTTTCATTTCCAAGTAACTATAAGCCCTATGTTGACCAAACTTGCATGGATGATACATCTAAGGATGCATACTACCGGGCTTGCTTCGGATGCTGAATCTGACCTACATTTTCCGGTTGAGTGAACAGGTTAAAGTTTTTGGTGTAGGTTTCATTTCCAAGTAACTATAAGCCCTATGTTGACCAAACTTGCATGGATGATACATCTAAGGATGCATACTACCGGGCTTGCTTCGGATGCTGAATCTGACCTACATTTTCCGGTTGAGTGAACAGGTTAAAGTTTTTGGTGTAGGTTTCATTGCCAAGTAACTATAAGCCCTATGTTGACCAAACTTGCATGGATGATACATCTAAGGATGCATACTACCGGGCTTGCTTCGGATGCTGAATCTGACCTACATTTTCCGGTTGAGTGAACAGGTTAAAGTTTTTGGTGTAGGTTTCATTTCCAAGTAACTATAAGTCCTATGTTGACCAAACTTGCATGGATGATACATCTAAGGATGCATACTACCGGGCTTACTTCGGATGCTGAATATGACCTACATTTTCCAGTTGAGTGAACAGGTTAAAGTTTTTGGTGCAGGTTTCATTTGCAAGTAACTATAAGCCCTATGTTGACCAAACTTGCATGGATGATACATCTAAGGATGCATACTACTGGGCTTGCTTCGGATGCTGAATATGACCTACATTTTCCAGTTGAGCGAACAGGTTAATGTTTTTGGTGCAGGTTTCATTTGCAAGTAACTTTAAGCCCTATGTTGACCAAACTTGCATGGATGATACATCTAAGGATGCACACTACCAAGCTTGCTTCGGATGCTGAATCTGACCTACATTTTCCGGTTGAGTGAATAGTTAAAAGTTTTTGGTGCAGGTTTCATTTCCAAGGAACTATGAGTTCTTTAATAATGACCAGTCTTGCATAGATGATACATCTAAGGATGCATACTTCCAGGCTTGCTTCGGATGCTGAATCTGACCTTCTTTTTGTGGATGAGTGAAAATGTTAGTTTTGATGCATGTTTCATTTCCAATAAACTATGAGCCCTATAATGAGCAAACTTGCATGGATGATACATCTAAGGATGCACACTAATGGACTTGCTTCGGATGCTGAATTGGACATACATTTTTCAGATAACTGATCTCAGATAGACAAGGTAAAAGTTATGGTTGCAGGTCTATTACCAAAAACTATAAGGCTTATATAACATTGTATAAACCAAACTTGCACAAATGCTGCATCAAGAGATGAAAACTCTCAAATTTGCTTCAGATGTTGGATTTTCATTACATTTTCATGAAGAAGAAGTAGTTTAAATTTTTTATGTAGGTCTATTTCAAAGTATCAGATCAAAATTGCTTTTAAAAATATTTTCATTTTTGGAATGTATACTTTTTGTTGGTTAATTGTGTGACTTTGCCTTACTGAAAGACAACATTCGTTGAGGTGAGCTCTGTAATCTCTGATTACCTATGTTTTTCATTCAGATAAAACAGGGGGAATATCTTTCAAGATAAATTCATCCCAATCTAAAGTGACAACATCGATTTTCTCTTCGTTGAATGAGGAAAAACTTAAAGATCAGCCTCCAAACTCCCAAACTCAAGACAAAGAGGTATACATGAATAAAAAATCCTGAAGTAATAAAAATCTCTGTTCTAAATTTTCAGGTGTTAAAAGATGTAAATATTGTACCAGAAAAGTAAAAAAAAAAAAACTGTTTTAAAACATTTAACTGAGTTGAGGACCCTCTCTACACCAGTGCAAAATATTTTGGGACATTGAGAAAAATATATTGTATAAAGGTGATAATATTGAGATTATCTATTTAATTTTCACTATATGGTATGTGTCATTGACCCCCAGGAAAAAGGTTCAAACACAACACAGTACCAGTGAACAGAAATCAATGTTCTTTACCTCCATCGAGACAATACATGTACCCTGGTAAATAACGTTGGATTAATTCATCTTGGCCTTTTGCAATGTGATGAATGTTAACAAACTGAGTAATATACTGCAAATTTCTATATTTTAGAATTAAGAGCTAGGGGCAGATCACTATAACTGCAGAAAAATACCATAGAATCAGAACTCTTTAGTGTGCATTGTAGAGAGGGTTCTTAAGTACACTGTATTTTAAAAAAAAAAATAGTGTAAGAGTTTTAAGCTGTAATTTATTTAGCAAAGCTTCTCTGATGACTTTTGGCATAAAATGTAAGCTTCTGAATTTATTATTCTTTTTTAATGCATTATTTTAGAATGCTGTATAAATGCAATAAATTATGTCACTTGAGATTTTTATTGATACATGATATTTGATTTGCACTTACAATCAATTATAGGAAGACTCTAGGCCCTGTATGGACCTGTTTGAGGCTATTTTTGGAAACACAGACTCTGAGGAGTCAGATGAGGAAAAACAACACTCAGTCACACAGCCAATGGACGCTGAGTCAGTCACACCAAATCCCAAACTATGACTGAGAGGCAAAGTATAGGAGAGTCTAGATGTAGCCAGAGTAACTGACAGCCAATGGACAATCAAAGGGAGGCAAATCTGATACAGAAGAGGCACCAGTAGTGAAAACAGCACCTCCAGGGAACTCCATCTTCTCACATTTATTTAAAAAACCAGAAAAAGGTAGTGTATAATATTAGATGTACTCCTCCTTAAATGATCAAGGTGTAGCATGAAATTTAAGAAAGAAATCTACATTTATCCTTTAAGACCGCGGAACATTAACTGGCAAAATTGGAAATATACAGCATACGTCATTTCTAGCTGTTACAATCAAAACATTCACTGATAGACAATGAAATGGGCGGGTACAATTGGAAAGGGAAAACATCGGAAATTGAAGATCTTTTCAATCCACCTGTGTTTTCAGAGCAAAGATTTCCAAAAATCAAAATTTCAACTCCCAAATACATATTGTTTGAAGTTCACATTAGGGAGGCAAATCTGAAGTAAAGATTATTTTTCAGAGATATTTGATTCTAGAAGGGGGGGGGGGTACCAGTCATGGCTTAACATGAAATATATTTTATTCCTAGGATTATAAGAGTGCAGGGGTTTTATACTTATTCTCACTGAAAACTGTTGGACAACTTTATGTAAAATCGTTCCCCCCCCCCCCCCAACTCAAGGATATACATATATTTACACAGAAATTTATTTCTCCCTTACAAAAAAAAAAAAAAAAAAAAAAAAAACTGTACCAAAATTGAAATTATTTGTCTTCTGGTAATGTAATAATATTGGATTGAAAATGTTTCGATCTGCAATTTCAATCCTTATATGATCAAAGTGTTTCATTGTCATCAAAATGTTTTGATTGTACAGATAGAAATGACATACTGTGTATTTATTTTGCCTTTATAATTAAAAAAAAAACCTTGCTGTTTTATAGAGGAACCTAACCGTTTGCCTGGTGCCCCTGTTGTCATAGAAACACTAGAAAAGAGGCTCTCAGGTGACAGTAGAGATTTGTTTGGTCCAGATCTTCCTCCCTCAATGAAAGGTAAATACTCATATTAAAAATAAATTTTTGGTAAAGAAAACTTTAAAAAACTTTATGTTTAGACAGAAAATATCAGAGAAAGGGAAAAATCTGAAGGAAATTTGAGAGAGAAAAAAAACATGCTGTATTTGAACTCTTGAACTTCATTGAAAGAGGAATGGTTTACATGTTAACTCATGTGGTATTCACATACATACATGTACTGAAAACAAATAGGGCAATTTATGAATAAATATTTCATCCTTTTTATTCTGCTTATAAGATGCCCTTATGGGAGGAGACATATTGCTGTGTTATTCGTACTTAAATCTGTATGATATGTGACCTTGTTTTTGACTTTGTATATATAGATCAGTCAAGTGGAAGCATGAATATGCAGTCACAGCACAGGTTTAAAGATCAAGAAAGGAGTGAAGAAAGTGGACACAAAGAACCCTATAGAGATAGAGAGAAGGATAGATACAAAGAAAGACAGACAGATAGAGATAGAGAGAAGGATAGATACAGAAATAAACAGACAGACAGGCATAGAGATAGGAGCAGAGACAAGTACAGAGGGAAGGAAGGAGAGGAGAAGGAATACCACAGAGACAAGTGGATAGAGAGAAAAGAACAGAGTTCTAGTGAGAGAGAGAAAAAGAAAGACAAGCATAAAAAACACAAACACAACAAAAGTAAAAAGTCAAAACACAAGAAAAAGCATAAAAAGGAGAAAAAGAGCCATAACAGGGATAAGTATACACAGGGCAGCTCATCTGATGCTGACAGTGAGAGTGATAGTGACACGCCCATAACAAACCTGGAACTGCTTCAGAAAGTCAGAACTCTCTCAAGATCGGGAAAATTATAGCATTAATACATACATATACAGAGAAATTACTTACATGAATGTCAATAAATAATTTTATTGTTTACAATGCATTTTGTTTGATTATGTAAAATGCTTAAGCAATGAATCATTATTTCTTGAAATACATAGTCTCATAACTGCAACGTTGTGTGCCAACAAAGTGATAAATGTGTGTTAGCATTTATGAGACTATATCTATCATAAAATGATTCATTGCTTAATTTACTTTATTTTTTAGGTGTGTGCATATACAAATTTAGTAATGCGCGCTTTTGGTCAATTGGAGGCGATTATTTTAAAGCAATATAAGCTGCATTTTTGGAAATTTCATTTTGTTGTTAAAATGTGTTATTATGATTAATCTATGTTATCTAAACCATTATGATCAAAAACCAGAATAAAGTTTAAAAATGTTTCATATGCTTATATTAAGAAATATAATTGTACATTTTTTAACTTTCTGTTCTTCTAGCAAATATGAACAAAAGAGGATTATAAACGTTCTATTTTCCTGTCATTGAAATAGTTAATAACAAATTTGAAATTTTTTTTTTTCGATGTCAAATATGCAGCTCATATTGCTTTAAATGTTAGCTTATGATGTTGCACTCCTCGGCTTTCATATGATCTCCATTCAGTTTATATGCAAAAAACATATGTAATGTAAATATTGGTTTATATCATAAAAACCAAAGGAATAAAAAAAATATTTAAAATATTAAGATTACAAGATTAGTAAATTTTCTCCCCTCATTCTTGTCTGGTAAAAGGAGGACTTGAAAGCTCTGTCTGTCGGTCTGTAATTGTCTTGTTATCAGATACGCAGGGATGTAAAAAAGTGTTCCTCTGTCAAGTTTGACACTTCAGTCCTCATACTGCAGTACGGCTAGAATAATATGTGTTATGAAGATAGGATATGTGGACGTTCAGACACTAATTAATGAAAAAGTTATATGAAATATTTTTGTATCATCTCTAATAATATATGGACGTTTATTATAAGTAATATTTTTCACAAAATTTGAATTATGAATTTCACATTATAAATAGCACATAAGTGCATGTTGATTTTATCTATCTTTTTAACGTCTTTTAAGTTATGTCATTATAAATTGTGTAACAACAGTATTGAGCTGTCGCGCAGGATCTACTTCCCGTATTCTTTTAAACCAGTTAAAAAAAAAGTCACAAGACAAACATTAATTGTTCACCCTTAAGAGTATAGGAGGCGATTTGATCGCGACAGGCCTGGTATTTAACAAACCGTGGCGTGTACACAATAGAGCTGCAGGTTTGAGGAAGTGATAATATTGGGCGAGTATCCAGACTACTAGTTAGATTTAGGAGAGTTTTTTTCGGGGGATAAAGAAGGCGTGTCGGGAGGATGTATCCGACACTGGTTATTATGGGGTGCCTCTTTTGGGCTGGAGTAAAATCAGAAGGTAGGACTTGCTCTTTTTCGTTTGTTTTGACTCATTCATGTGTGTTCACTGGTGTGTGTCATTGCTGGCCTATTTTTAAAACAGGTGTGAAAATAAACATACCGAAAATACCTTTGGGTTTATTCCGCATAGTTGGATTTAATTTCAATGATTCATTGAATTCTCATATTTATCACTTAATATTCGAAAAAATTAAATATTAAAATAACTGCAGTGTACGTAATAGCTAATTAAGTATATTCATTAAAACAATACCTATATATGTGAAGATGCTTGTAGATATATATATATGAAAACAGTCTGATTCTTGGTTTGCTTTATAACAGCATATACAAGATTCTCTCAAAATATTTTCGAAACAAGTACGTGTATGTGTGTGTGTTTTTGCTATAAAGTTTATATTTTTATTTAAAATCTATAAATGTTTTTCTGCCATTCATATATACATGTAAATTTAAATGCGTGTAATTTGGAACTATCTGTACAAGTTCAAAGTACGTTCTGCATTTCAAAATCTGTTGCTGGTATTTATAATAAAATATATATCATATCAAAATACTTAGTAAACAATTATACGCCAGTGATATACATGCAGGTTGACACCTGACCTTTCAGTAATAGAGAAATATACATACCACAGGGTATTATCATGAAATAAACAAGAAACACTTTTGTAGTGTTTATCATAGAGAAAACAATTGGAAATGGAAATATGTACATATATACACGTACTACATCTATTCTATTCTATGAGAGAAAGTAAATTGCTTTTCTACTGAAATAAACCATTATCTAGATAAGTCAAAACTTTCTCGAGTGACGAGACTTGTACTAATGTCCTTTCAATATCATATCCTTAACACTATTTCCTTATGAAATTCATTTATTGATAAAAATTTAAAAAAAGTCTAACAAAGAAGGGAAAATGTTGTAAAAATTAAAAAGATAATTTAAAAAGTGAAATACATGTATGTATTTTAGTGTATGTATCATATCTTTTTAGAAAAGTTATTTATTTTTTTTGATTGGTTGATTAACACACTTTTAAAGATTTATATTTAATCATAAAATTACTTTGCAGCATAGGTAAAACAGAGTAAAATAGAGAAGGGAAAATAGACTCACGTATTTATGTTTTAAACTTTTATTGTTCAGGTGTCCTTGAAATCTTTTCCATTGGAAAAAAATCGATAATGGATTTTAAATCATAAATGACAGACATTAAGGTGTTTAATCTCTTATTCTTGTCATGTACACAATATTTTAACCATCAAAAACTTTGATAATATATTTCAAACTTAAGTAATAAACTTGGTTTTCGATAAAAAAAAAAGAAGTTAAAAGTATAACATTTAATCATGTAAATGTAATTTATCGTAATATTTTGTTCGCAGATTGATGTTATAATAAAGAGAAAAGCAATATTTTTAAATTCCAACGAAGAATTTGACACCATAAATTAACGCGTTCTAAAATTGTTAGTACATATTCATCTGAACTTCAAATAATGTACAGTGCGTTGTAGCTCCAGTTCTTTATTGTTGGTTGACCAAAACTGCCTATTCTTAGTGAAAGGAATAGTTTTTAAAAACATCAATATTATTTTTATCATTTATTCCCAGCTCTCTGATTGGCTCAAACTTGATCACATGATTTAGTATATAACAGCATAAAGACTTGAGTTACTATTTATAGAATCTGAAATGCGTATCTTGAGGTTTCTTAAAATGGAGATATTTCCGTGAAACAAAATAGTACTGTATTCAATCAAAGCTAATACAGTGTATGATTTGATGTTTCTAGAAAAAAAATATTTATTTCAACTTTTACTAACTTTTACTAACTTTTTTTCTATGTTCTGTATTTGATGAGACAAAAGAAGGCATTGGATTAGGATTACTTTAAAACATATTTGATATGTGTGTCAAATATTGATACAAAACTTAATCAAATAAATGAAGTATTCTGAATAAGTAAATCGTCTAAATCACTCCATCAATATAAAGGAAACGCATTTACATTAAACGGTGTAATTTATTTTGATCTCTAGTCTCTAATTGTTAAAGGGAGAAAACTTTTCCAATTATTTTCTTAATGTGTTTTGTCAATCTATGTAAAAAATAATATAACAAATGTAGCCCTTTGATGAGGTCAATTCATAGATATATCACACAGAAAAGCATATCGACCTCGCACTTCGTGCTCGGTCACACTGTATATATCTATGGATTGACCTCATCAAAGGGCTATATTTATATAATATAAACTCACAATTTAAACATATATTTCATTTTTTTAATAACTTTGAAATCTTTTGCACATATATACTCCCCGTCAATGGAAACGCAACACCCTGTTTTTAGGGTGAAAATTATATATAGGTTATAACTATGTACCAAAAAAAATAAGGACATCTTTTACTTTGCCAAATCTGTTATTTAACGGTTGAATTAATTTCTTTCCATTACCGGAAGTTGCATTTAAGCCATCTTAACAGAATTCAAAATTTTGCATTTTTACTAAAATTTTAACAATATTTTGGGTTTTCAAGGTTTTGAAGCTGTTAACCATAAGTATTGTACCAAAAGGCCAGGATAAAATCCTTCTTTCTATACAGAAGCAATTGTGATGTGATGCCTATATTTCCTCAAAATGACTGAAATCAATAAGGGGGATGTTTTAGGAGTTATGTGTTACCTTCTAAAGTTTAATGATAGCATTAAAAATGAAAATATATCTTTAAAAATAATTTTACAAAACATGAATACTCAATTTAAACATTGAATGTTTTTTTTAATCTTGGAAAGAAACAAATACCAGGTAATTAAATCTTAAAACATCCCCCCTTCCGACCATTTAATTAAAACGTGCTAGTCCGCCATATACAACAAATGCAGCCAGATTTCTACCAAGCATTAGGTTTATAGACATCTTAATCTGAGCGAAAATAGTATTCTTGGGCATTTTTAAAAGCACGTTTTTCCGATACTCGGTCGAATTTTCTCTAACTTGGCGTAGTGTAGCAACTTTTGGACTTCCGGTCAAGAAACTTTCATTTATTCTATTGAAACACATGAGCCTGATGAGTAGTTATATAGTGTAAATTTGCATCTTCACTCTTTTTTTCTTTATTTTGAGAATTTTTAGCATCAGCAATGAAAATCAATCATTTTGAGGAAATATAGGCATCACTTCCGGTAAAGAAAGAAGGATTTTTTCCCTGGCGTTTTAGTACAATACTTATGATTAACAGCTACAAAACCTCAAAAACCCAAAATATTGTTAACATTTTTATATAAAATGCAAAATTTTGATTTCTGTTAAGAGGGCTAGAAAGCAACTTCCGGTAGTGGAAAGAAATTCATTTAACCGTTAAATAATTGATTTGGTAAAGTAAAAGTTGTCCTAACTTTTTGGTACATAGTTATAACTCGAATATAATTTTCAACCTAAAAATAGGGTGTTGCGTTTCCATTGACGGTGAGTATATAACAAGTATAAAAAGTCGCGTTTTGCAGGATTATACTTTTTATTGTCTTTCAAAGAACGTAATTCTAAAATTTTATAATTTAGAGTTGTACGTCTCGACTCCGACGACCATCTTAAGTGTAGACACATCAACTTTACAGACATCGACTATTATCACCAAGGTAATTCTGTCCAGAGCAGTCTTCTGTGACACACTGTAGTAAGGATGTGAAAAGCTTGAGATCTCGTTCCTTCACGGAACCTTAAAACATAAGCTAGTTTGCTAAATAAAAGCTGCAGAGCTTTTGCTCTCCGAAAAAATATATATTGATTGACCGGAAAGCTGGTCTATCAATATATATTTTTCGGAGAGCTACAGTTCTGCAGCTATAGTTAAATAACGTTTTTTTTTTATTATATCAGTTTGAAATTTAAAAACAAATGGTAGAACATATGAATTTCTGAGAAAAATGAAGTAAATTGTTTATTACTTTTATTTTGAATTTGGATTATATCGCTGGTAATTTGACCATAATTAAATCCACTGTCATTTCACAAATTTTAATTTATAAATTCTTGTAACAAATCTCAATAGGCTTTAAACTTGTGCACTCATTTTAATTGAATTTATTGGTCCATTTTTTAAAAATGTTATTTAAAATGAATATTTCTTGTGTGTGTTTTTTGATCTTTATTCTTTATGTGTTCATTTCTTTTAGGTTGACTTTAATCATTTTATCCATTTATTCTGTTAAATTTGTTCTCCATAAATAGAAATTCTTACTGTTTTTTTCGTAGGAGAACGGACGTTTGTTGGGATTGGCCGCAGACTGGAGAAACCAGAAACTTTATTATACCGACGTGTCATCTAATGGCGCAGGCATATACGAATCTGATCTACAGGGGAACAATGTCAAGAAACTAGTTCAGTACCCAGGTAAACGCTCCCTCATTTACAAACAGCAATGACAAAACAGCATAAGGGGAAATGCATGTAACCCTCTTTTTCTAAATAGCAGTGCATAAGAATTAAATAATTTGCAGGAAAATACTTCTTTTTCTAATATTAGCATTCAAGTTAGTAAATTATCAATAATGCTCGAAGGTTTTAAAGTTCATGGCTTAAAAAAAATCATACATGTATTTCGTGTGGTAGGTAATTTCTTGGCAACTAATGTTCCTTAACATATTGAATAATATTTTCAGCTAAGTTGTAGCTAGTTGAATTCTTGTTTTCTATTTCGTACATTTCATTTGTTTAAGAAATATATACTGCCCTAAAAAGAAAAAAACCTTTGCTCTGATCTAAATACCGGTAACATCAAGTTCTCTTATGAGATTAAGTAGCTTTGATGGCTTCTCTATAAGATCCACTCACAACATAAACCGCTGCTGAGTGATGGGGAACCCCAATGTCTCATCTCTTCTCTGTAACAATACTTAGTGTGTGTCATGAGAACAAGACGTGTGTATTCCCCGAAAATTATATACATTCTACTTAGTCCGACTCTCGAGCTTCCCGCGTCGTTATAAACCGCGGCCAAAGACAAGTGTGCAATCATCTCCCATTCTGGAAATGCCTAAATCGGACTTCGGACTATATTTAACAAGATGCGAGTTAACATTCCTTTTATGCCCCTAATAAGATTAAAGAGTATATATACTTTTTAGCTCACCTGAGCCGAAGGTAGTGAAAAACTGAATTGTAGAAATCACGACCCCCAGGGTTTGGGCGGGGCCACAATGGGGGGGAATCAAAATTTTACATAAATACATTTTGGTAAAATCTTTAAAGATCTTCTTCTCAAGAACCACTGGGCCAGAAAAGCTGAAACTTTTTTGTAGAAGCATCCTGGGGTTTATGTAGATTCTAAATTGTTCAAATCATGACCCCCGGGGGTTGGGCGGGGCCACAATAGGAATTCAAATTTTACATAGAAATATATAGGAAAAAACTTTAAAAATCTTCTTCTCAAGAGCTACTTGGCCAGAAAACTGAAACTTATGTGGAAGCATCCTGGGGTAGTATAAATTTTAGATAGTCCGAATTATGACCAGTGGGGTATGATGGGGTCACAATAGGTATTACAAGGGGGAAATATGGTTAAGAATAGCATGGTCAAAGCTTCTTAGGTGTGCGATGTGACCCATGGACCTCTTGTTTGCCATGTCTGTCCGTCCGTCTAGCTGTATGTCCGCAAAAACTTTAACGTTACCTATAGCCTTGAATCGTTGGAGCTATGACTTTCTACATTTATACATCACATTTGTATTCCACGTTACAATATCTTTGATCTCATGACCTTCGAGTTTTGCACACTTTTGCAACAAAAAAAGTTCAAGCTTTAACCTTGGCCGCCATATTTTTGGTGCTATATAGCTTTTGTATTTCAAACAGATATTTATTGTGACAAGACCTTTCCATGAGTATTTAAATATTTTTGACATATTGACCTTGACCCAACCCACTTAAATTCTGTAACCTTGACCATAACTTTTGAACAGTTAGCACCAGGACCTTTCTTTTGATAAGGTCTTTCCTTGGATACAAACAATTTTGACCCTAGGGTTGACACACGTTTGAAAAACTTTATCCCTAACCATAACTTTTGAACAGTCGTTGTTTACATGAGTATTTCTTATGACAAGGCCTTCCCTTAGGTGCATTTAGTTTTACCCTTTGACCTTAAAAATAAACTTTAACCCACATTAAAAAATACGGCGTTTTTTTAAATCTAGACCATGTAGTTGTTACGCTTTGCGCCATGCAAAATAGTAATTTTTTGATCCATGGGTATCAATCTTTTAAAGTACGGAGTAATATAAATAATGCAGTTAAAATTCAACAAAAGAAATCTCTAGTTTATATTCTGGTTATACGACTATTTATAAAACTTGACATTTAAGATGAAGTTCGACTTTTCCATTTACTTGTCATATTATCCCATAATGTCGTCTTAGTTCTGTTCATTCAAAATAGCACATATTTCCTTCCCTATTACTTAAAACTGTGGGTTTCAGCGTTATTTCTTCCTTGAAGGACAATCAATGGATCTATGGTGGCCTCGTCACGTGATTCTCAGGAAAACAAAACACTTTAAACACTTACAAACTGAAGAGAGTTTAATGTTGGTGTCCAAACACACACTCGATCTAATTTTACACTTATACTGATAACATCATACTACTTTTTTTTTATTAATAGATATGATTTAATTCAACCCAAAAAGTTAAGTGGTTGTAAAACCAAACAAAAAATAAACTTAAACAAGATGTGTTTGTAAATATTTGAAATGTGAAATATAAAACCCTAGCACCACCTGTTCAAAGGTTATGACCAAGGTTAACGTTTTTAAGGTAGGACAAACTCCGAGGTCAAGGTCAAAGAGTGAAGGTTGTTAGTTTCTAAAGAAAGGCCTTGTCTCAAAGATTCCAAATGGGAAGTATGAAAGTGTTGGCCCTTACCCTTAAAGTTATGGCCAAGGTTAAAGTTTGTAAAAAGTAGGTCAAACTCCACGGTCAAGGTAAAAGGATCAAAGTTGGTGATATTTAATAAAAGGTCTTCTCACAAATATTACATATGTGAAGTATTAAAGCTCTAGCCCTTACTGTTCAAAAGTTATGGCCAAGGTTAAAGTTTGTAAAAAGTAGGTCAAACTCCTAGGTCAAGGTCAGAGGGTAAAAGTTGTTGGTATCCAATGAAAGGTCTTTTCACAAGGATTACATTTGTGAAGTTTGAAAGCCCTAGCCCTTACCGTCCAAAAGTTATGGCCAAATTAAAAGTTTTTTCGTAAGTACGGAAATATCCAATATCAAAAATGATTGGTTTCAAATGAATGGTCTTGCCAAAAAGAATTGATTTTGAAATATGAAATACTAACTCCAAGGTCAAGGTCAAGGGTCACAGTTCTTGGTATCCAATGAAGCGTCTCCTCACAAGAAATACGTGTGCTAAGTATGAAAGCCCTAGCCCTTACGGTTCAAAAGTTATGACCAAGGTTAAAGTTTTTTCATAAGTACAGAAATCTCCAAGGTCAAGGTCAAAGTTGTTTGTACTCAATGAAAGGTATTGTCACAAAGAATACATATATGAAGTATTAAAGTCCTGGTATCTACTGTTCAAAAGATATGATTAAAGTAAAAGTTTGGAATTTTTGTGTAAAAGTGGGTCTAACTCCGAGGTCAAAAGGTCAAATTTGGTGGTACCCAAAGATAGGTCTTGTCACAAGGAATACACATGTGAAATATGAAAGTGATAGTTCCACTAAATCAAAAGTAATGGGCATGGTTAAAGTTTTTGCGGACAAACAGACAGACAGAGAGACAGACACACACACACACAGCTAGAGAGAGAGAGAGAGAGAGAGAGAGAGAGAGAGAGAGAGAGAGAGAGAGAGAAGTATATATACCCCGAAACATCGTTTACGGGGGCATAAAAAACAACAACAACAAATTTTATATGAACAGTGTTGATTGAGCAAAAGGACAAACTCTGTTAATTTAGTGTCATGCATCAAAGAAAATGAGTAGACAAGGCATGCAAAAGGACTATGGTGCGACAAACATGAAGGGAAAAATGAAATATCGATTATATGAAAATTTTCCATGATATTTTAAAGTATACTTTATGTAAAATCTATACAATTTACAAATATCTCACAAATACTGATTTCATTTGCCAGTGTTTTGATTTTTACATCAAACAAGGGGCCAAACTCGGCTGTTAACATACCTCGTCCTTTGAAATTACTAAAATCTGCAACATAAAAACTTTCAACTTTTTAACACTATACAACTGTTGCAACCACTATTGAAATAACGACCACTATTGAAATAATTATATCAATAGTGGTTGAAAGTGCATTTCAATAGCAAACATAGTTAGTAGCCACTGTTGAAATACAACCACTATTGAAATAATTATATCAATAGTGGTTGAGATTGTATTTTAATAACAAACATAGGTAATAACCACTTTTGAAATACGACCACTATTGAAATAATTATTTCAATAGTGGTTGAGAGCGCATTTCAATAACAAAGATAGGTAATAACAACTTTTGAAATACAACCACTGTTGAAATAATTATTTCAATAATGGTGAGAGTGCATTTCAGTAACAAACATAGATAGTTACCATTATTGAAATACTACTACTATTGAAATAATTATTTCGATAGTGGGTTAGATTCATTTCAATAAGAAACATAGGTTGCAACCACTATTGAAATAATGTTCACTTTTGAAATAAAAATTTCAGTATGGATTAAATTATTGATTTTAATAGTGCATTGAACAATGAATCCAATAATATATTGAAATAATTATTTCAAAAGTTGCTGAGGCGGTGAAACTTTTTTTCAATTCTGGTAGTATATTTCAATAGTGGTTGAACCCTATGGTTACCATATTGAAATGCACTCTCACCCACTATAAAACAGGTTGGGGGGAAACGTAAATTCCGCTATAATAGTGGTATTTCACTATTATAGTGAAATTACGCTATATTTCCAGTCGTGGATACCCTCAATTTCACCCGATACCATGCAAGGCGTTTGAACCGCACGTCATGGTGGGTATTACAATGAACAAAAACTGTCATGCTTGCATGTTTTGAATTTTAATAAATTTTCTACCGTTGCGTTTGAAAATGCGAGCACTCTTTTTTTAACGGAAGTTGCATTTTTAACATAGCAACCGATGATTGCGGGGATATATAATATAAGCCTGTTTGAATCTCACTTATTGCTCATTAATGTGCACAAATTAATGTTTGTTACAATTGTCAACTTAAACTGGAAAGGGTTTATTGAATTAAACAAGAAAAAAATTATTTCTGTCTGCATGGTTACGGGTATGGAGGCCCGTTATGGTAAACGGAAAGACCCATTATAGCAAACATGAAAAAAGAGTGTATTGATAAACTCGATATCTTTTCTCTTAACAAAATCAATTTATAATAAATAATCCAAAAATTACATATAAACGATCCCAGAAAATATATCTACTTTTCAATATCGGCTGGTTAATTGTTTATTTCAGAAAAAAAGACTCAATTTATTTCGGTGTCGGTAATATTTAACAAGAGTGTCTGTAACCTTATTTTAACACATGTTCAAATAATTATAATTCAACAATCTTTTTAACTCCGCACAAATGTATCTTATTTAACATTTTATGGTTATGCACTTAGGCAAAAATGATTTAACTTTAAAATCTGAGAGAAATAGCTATAGTTTTTTTTTTTTTTTTGTTATTTAAAAAAATATTCATATCTAATTATATTCATATGAAATGAAAGTATATAGCAAAAAATCACACTAAAAGTATTAATTTTTCAGACTTTTAGATTTATGCCATTGTATTATTGTTTAAACTACAAGGAAACTTCAAATAACAAATCATCACTGCTCAGCATAAGAAGTGTCTAAAATATCTTCGACTCAATTTATATTTTCCACAATTAAAAATTGATGTAAAACATCAAATTAGCCGCAAACAATTTAGCATTTGAAAAAGTACTTTCACAATTCTGAAAGCATATCCATGCAATGGAAGTGCAAGATATTCAAAGCTGAAGTAGAATCTTGAAAAGCGTATATTTTCATTTACAATCAATTCTTTTATCATAGACTTCATAGGCGTTAGAACCGGAGGGTGCTAGGGGCGCCTAGCCCCCACCCCCACTTTCTTGCAAGGATAGACATTTTCTTTGTATTGAAAATTGGGGTTTATCTTTTTTGTTGGTTTAACCCCCCCCCCCACTTTCAATTAGCCACCCTTTCAATTTGCTTCAGACTCCTATGGACTTTATTACATCGATGAATATATATCTGATGAGCAAATGCATTAAAATATGTATATCCGTACTTATTTAAAAAAAAAATTATTTGTATTGCTTCGAAGACAGTCTGAAATAAAAATGACCGAACCACGTGCACCCTGGATCTTGTGATAATTCCTATGTTTTTCTGCAAAATAGGCTATGCTGCAAGGCACTGTGCAAAATGTGGAAACGAAATTATTCTTGTATCATTGGCAGCATTCGCAGCTATAACATATTCAAAACAATTTTTACGAGTTGAAGAGTTTTTGATTTTTTATTAACCATGCACTTTATGCACCACGTCATTATGATGCGACCGGAAAATCAAAATTTCCTTTTATATATATGTAATACCTTTTGTAAACTCTTTTTACGAGTATATAGTCAAAAATTATCAAATAACTTGATGAGAAATGACAATGAAATTGAAACATTATAACAATAATATTTTAAATTTTACTGATGATTTTCTACATGTTATCAATGAAGAATTATTATACTGAACTTTTACAAAAATAACTTTTCATTTTCCATGTTCACTATTTAACAACCATGTACAAAAAGATCGGCTGCAGAAGCGGTCGATAATAATGGGTCTTTCCGTTTACCATAACGAGCCTCCATACCCGTAACCATGCAGACAGAAATAATCTTTTTCTTGTTTAATTCAATAAACCCTTTCCAGTTTAAGTTGACAATTGTAACAAACATTAATTTGTGCACATTAATGAGCAATAAGTGAGATTCAAACAGGCTTATATATCCCCGCAATCATCGGTTGCTATGTTAAAAATGCAACTTCCGTTAAAAAAAGAGTGCTAGCATTTTCAAACGCAACGGTAGAAAATTTATTAAAATTCAAAACATGCAAGCATGACAGTTTTTGTTCATTGTAATACCCACCATGACGTGCGGTTCAAACGCCTTTTATGGTATCTGGTGAAATTGAGGGTATCCACGACTGGAAATATAGCGTAATTTCACTATAATAGTGAAATACCACTATTATAGCGGAATTTACGTTTCCCCCCAACCTGTTAAATAATTAGTTCAGTAGTGCTCGTATTTCAATAGTGGTTGAAACCTATGGTTATTATATTGAAATGCACTCTCACCCACTACTGAAATAATTATTTCAATAGTGGTCGTATTTCAATAGTGGTTACTAACTTTGTTTGCTACTGAAATGCACTCTCAACCACTATTGATATAATTATATCAATAGTGGTCGTTATTTCAATAGTGGTTGCAACATACAGCTATTCCCTACGATAAAATAAGTCCAAGATTCTTGACATTATAGACAGCTGCCTTTTCAATAAGAATATACTAAACCTTGCATTTTTTTCATTAAAACATTCTGATGGTAGACACAAATACTCTGAAAAGGATATTAAAATGATATTTGAGTTTTTGTTTAACATGAATTAGATCTTCCAAGAATGTCGGAATTCCAATGAGAACAAATCGTGCCCTATTATAAAATGACTTTTTTTGTATTCATATGAAGCAGAATTTATTTAATCACTTATAGTATATGAGAAAAGAAACAACGGTTGCTGCTGCCTTCAATTTAATATTTTTAGATCACCTGAGCAGAAGGCTCAAGTGAGCTTTTCTGATCACATTTTGTCCGTCGTCCGTCCGTCCGTCTGTCTGTCTGTCCGTCCGTCTGTAAACTTTTCACATTTTCGACTTCTCAAGAACCACAGGGCCAATTTTGAACAAACTTAATACAAAGCATCCTTGGATAAAGGGAAATTTAAATTGTTAAAATGAAGGGCCAAGTCCTCTCACAATGGGAGATAATCAAGAAAAGACAAAAATAGGGTGGGGTCATTAAAAAATCTTCTTCTCAAGAACCACTGGGCCAATAAGGCTGAAACTTATGTGGAAGCACCCTGGGATAGTGTAAATTCTAAATTGTTCAAATCATGACCCCGGAGGTTGGGCGGGGTCACAATGGAGAATCAAATTTTTACATAGAAATATATAGGAAAAATCTTCTTCTCAAGAACCACTGGGCCAGAAAAGCTGAAACTGATATGGAAGCACCCTTGGGTAGTGTAGATTCTAAATTGTTCAAATCATGACCCCCGGGTGTAGGGCTGAGCCACAATGGGGAATCAATGTTTTACATAGAAATATATATATAGGAAAAATCTTTGAAAATCTTCTTCTCAAGAACCACTGGGCCAGAAAAGCTGAAACTGATGTGGAAGCACCCTGTGGTAGTTTAAATTCTAAATTGTTCAAATCATGACCCCCGGGTGTAGGGCGGGGCCACAATGGGGAATCAAAGTTTTACATAGAAATATATAAGAAAAAACTTTAAAAATCTTCTTCTCAAGACCCACTGGGCTAGAAAAGCTGAAACTTATGTGAAAGCATCCTGGTGTAGTGTAGATTCTAAATTGTTCAAATCATGACCCCTGAGGGTAGGGCGGGGCCACAATGGGGAATCAATTTTTTACATAGAAATATATAGGAAAAATCTTTGAAAATCTTCTTCTCAAGAACCACTGGACCAGAAAAGCTGAAACTTATGTGGAAGCATCCTGGGTACTGTAGATTTCAAATCTGTAAATTATGATCATTGGTGTAGGGTGGGGTCACAATATGTATTACAAGGGGGAAATCTGGTAAAAAACAATATGACAAAAGATTCTCAGGTGAGCGATGTGGCCCATGGGCCTCTTGTTAAAGATATCGACAACGAATTCAATTAACAATAGTTACTTCAAGTTATATGTTGACTAAATATAGGTCTGACATGTCTGTTTCATACTCAGACATTTTACTAGAAAAGTACATTTATTTATTTTAAGAACTTTAATGACCTTTGAGCTTGAATACTGTTCCATAAATGATATTTCATTATAGTAATGCCCAAGTTCACAAATAATCAAAGATTAAGGTAGAAATTCTTAAATTTTAGTAAAAAAAATATCTAAATTGATACCCATGTATAATATTGTACTTTATGTAATTGACAGACATGGAACCCGTGGGTCTGGCCGTGGACTGGGTTTACAGACACCTGTACTGGACAGACTCCGTCTACAGGTCAGTTATGATGTCAAACCTGGACGGCACGGGACGAATCACCATAGTAACGGAAAATCTCGTCATTCCTCGGGGCATCGCTGTGGATCCAAAGAATAGGTAGGTAAACGAAGAATCATATCACAGATGAAATTCCGAAGATACTTATGAATATTAATATATTACATATAATTCAAACTGCCATTATGGCTATTAAATTGAAAGCCAAATTATATATACATGTATAACAAATGTTTTCTTTTTGTAAAAAGAAGATTCTTGATCTCTGGTAAATGAGAAAAAAAAAGTGATATATCGAATCTCATAAACCAGTATATTCCAAGTCACTATTTGTAAAGATTTTAAAAACAAACTATATTTTAAATCCAAAACATTTTAACAGTATTGTTAAATAAGTATGAAACTTGCAGCCGATGCATATTTTTTTTAAACAAAGTACAAGTATAAATTATTTTTTGAAATGATTATCCTTCGCACAAATACCAAGGTTGTACAAATAACATAATAACAATTCTCAACGCCACGTTGTGTAAAATCGATTTTAAGATTAGAGACTATTTTTTAAAATGTTATAAATTTTGTGTGCCAATTTATAACATTTTTATGAACAGTTTCTATTCTTAAAAATCGATTTTACACAACGTATAATATGTAATGTTCTTATATAATTTGTGCAAGCTTTTAAAAGTGACTAATAATTTTTGTGCCAGGAAGGACAGCTATGAAAAAAATAATTTGATCCATACTTGTAATATAATGAAATAATTCCTAGCTTTCTGAATTAATACTTGTAGTTTCTAACAATGTAAAGATCATACCAATGCAAGGTTAAAATTTGAACACCCCCCCCCCCCGAAAAAAAGGAGAAAGAATATACTGAGAAATTCCACAGCGACACATGACCAAAAATGTTTGCATATTTAGGAAAATTGTTATGTTTATTCAAATTTATTGTAAGCCAACTTTTTTTACATCTGTACGAAGGCCCATTGAGCTCATTTTTGTAGGTTAATAAAATGAATTTTCGCGAATAAACGCAAAACTTTTGCGAATAAACGAGAAACTTCCGCGTTATATCGCGAAGTTATGCCATGTGTATATGCAATGTTACTTAGAGACCTTTGATCTCGAATGACAGATGTGAAACATGAAGGCAGACGGGAACTTCTATGAATTTATGATTGACTTTTTCTCAGAAGATTTAAAGGAGAAATGAAGCGAGAATAGGATAGATTAGTATTCAGATTTTTGAATTTTATTAAAATCCCTACTAATTAATAAAATGACTATTCCTTTAAAGATTTTCTTGTTTTCACGTGTTTAATTCAAGAAATTCTTAAGACTAATTTTTTTTAATGAATTTATGAATGACTTTTTCTCAGAAGATGTAAAGGAGAAATGACGCAAGAATAGGATAGATTAGTATTCAGATTTTTGCATAAGAAATTCTTAATTTAAGACTGATTTTTTTGAGAGATTGTACACTTTGAATTCATTGTGACAGTCAATGTTTCCTAAGCAATGGTATGGCCACTTGGCGGAACCTCAAAATACGAAGTTGTATTTCTACAGTGAGCCTTTTGGAGACAAATAAACATTTGTCATCCAATTTTCACATTACATCATCAATGTAAATTTCAAATTCTACAGAGATTGTAAAAAAAAATGACACGAGAAAGGGATACCTTTCCCCTAGATTCAAAACTATAAGTTTTAATTTTGGAAAACTCGCATATACTTTGAATTGTTTGAACAGCATTGAGTAACATAAAATTTGACGGAAAAAGGTTTAGAAATGTGAAATTGTAACAAAAAACTTAGATCATAAAATCAAACAAGAGCAATGAGCTCAATAAATGATACCCCCCGTCTCCCATAATGTCCATGTGTTGCTATTTATTGTTTTACGGTAATGTGTAAAGAGGAATAACTCGTCCTATCAAATGTTATCCAGAAGCTTCTATATGTGAGGTCATAGGTAAACATATAATGGCAATGTCCATGTTTTGCTATGGGAAACCTAAAATACGTGTCGAATAAAAAAGTAAGATAGGAGGTGCACATGGCAATATGTAATAAAGATTCTGTGAAAGTTTCATTAAATTTCACTCAGTAGTATAAGAGGAGTTGCGGATAAGAGATAAAGCGTAACAGACGGATGGACGGACAGATGGACGGACGGAAATCCTGATTACTATATACCCTCCCACTTTTAAAGCGGGGGGTATAATGAAAATTAAAAAATAACTTATGCAAATGTCTCTGTAAAACAACGAAAATTTCGCGGTATAACGCGAAAATTACGTGTTTGCGAAAATAAAGCGTTTATTTGCGAAATTCCACGTATGTTATTCGCAAAACTTTTGCGTTTATTTGTAAAAGATTCGCGTTCATTTGCGAAAGTTATTAGTAATAACGCGAGAGAGTCGCGTTATAAGTGAAATATAATTTGTAATCTACTAAAATGAGCACAATGGGCTTTCGTACGTTACATTTGACTATAGCTAGGACATAAAAAGAAGTCAAGGTTTACTCACTGAAATTCTTCCATTTTATTATTCACTTTGAATCATATTATAAATCATTTATTTTTCTTGTCAAAGCAATGCTTTTGCAACATTGGAGTACAAAATTCACCTCGCCCTTTGGACCCTGTGAGAATAACACACCCGGTTATTAACACAGAAAAGCATATTGGAAAAATGAAAAGAAACTTGTAGAAAGCCAATATATTTTTGACAATTACTTTTCGTTGCATATTTATTTTAGGGAGTGTTAGTAGTCAAATTCAAAAACGTTAGGTAATGTTTATAATGTTCATAATTAAAATTTAATAAATAAATAAAAAAGAAATAAGTAGATGAAAAAATAAATGAATAAATAAATAATTGAATAAATAAATAAATAAAGTAAACAAATAAAAAATAAATCTTAATATGTATATTTAAAAAATATAATAGATAAACATTAAACTAATAAATAAATAAAAATGAAAAATCTAATAAATAAATAAATATTATAAACAAACGAATACCGGTAAATAAATAAGTAAATAAAAATAAATAAAGAAAAATGCTCAGCCTAATATTGTCATTCTTTCATTCCCTTAGAGTTATGAGTGTCTTTAGGTATACCGTCATATTAAAGTACAATTACAGCTTTCCTTCTTATTGTATGGCCCCGTGTGGATCCGGGTTAGAATAGGTCCTCAGTACCCCCTTGCTTGTCGTAAAAGGCGACTAAATGGGGCGGTCCTTCGGATGAGACCGTATAAACTGAGACCCCGTGTCACAGCAGGTGTGGCACGATAAAGATCCCTCCCTGCTCAAAGGCCGTAAGTGCCGAGCATAGGTCTAAATTTGCAGCCCTTCACCGGCAATGGTGACGTCTCCATATTAGTGAAATATTCTGGAGGGGGACGTTAAACAGTATACAATCAATCAATCAATCTTATTGTATGACTTTAGAAAGCTGTACATTGGTGATCAGGGAAACCATGCGGTGCAGATCTGTGGTTTGGACGGAAGAAACTGCCGGGAGCTGAATGTAACCGATGCCAGCGCCACCTTCTGGCCAAATCAGATCACCATTGATCACGCATCAGGGTAAGAAATTCGCCAAGGAAGAACATATGTACTGTGTTAACTCAATTGTTGTTTTTTTCCCACTGTGTAATAGAAGAAGTCCAATTATTGGAGGATCTTTGTGCATTAAACTTTAATATACACACCTAAGTTTGTTACATACAGTATATGAAAACGTAAAAAATTATGCATATACAAACAATTAACAGAATTTCAAATACTACTTTCATTGCCATTTCTCAGTTCTATTGTAATAACTTCTTTCAATCACTTGTAAGTTCTCACAAAAACATTATTTAAGCTATAACATGCAAAATACCTGATAAATACATAATCCTCGCCTGTGTTTTTACGTTTATTTTCCCCTGTAGGAAGGTCCACTGGACGGATGGTTGGATTCCAGCTGTCTACTCCTGCTCAGTCGATGGTTCGAGTTGTGTGAGGAACACAGGAAATCTGTCCACAGATCTAGGCTCCAATCCCGTGTTTGGCATTGCAGTGGGCCAGAGTGATAAGTTGTTCTTATCCACGCTCCATAACCAGACCCTCTACCAATCCAGTGATAGCCTCGAACTGACGAATCTACAAATCCCTTCCTCAGAATCAAAGACGTTCTTCCTGCTCAGTAAAGACACAACAATCAGTCAACCTTCGGGTATGGAGCCAAGTACAAAAAAAGAACCAGTCGAAGACTCTTTTTTATTTGTTTGAAACTATTTTTCTTGTTCCAATGATACTGGAAAGTAATTGAAATGTCTATTTTCAAGAAGTTCAAAATAGTCAATTAAATTTCCTTGATTGAATTTTTATTTCAGTTTCAACAACAAATCCATGTATCACAAATAAAGGAGGATGTTCAGACATATGTGTTCCTCACTCTGGTAATGAGTTTACCTGCGCATGCTCAGACGGGTCGGGGAAGATTTCGATCAACAAAAGCTGCCAAAGTAAGCTATAGATTATAGAAAAGATAGCAAACAGTATTTATCAAATATTCTTTTCTTGATTTGAAACACTATTGAAATGCTATTGCAGCACCCAGTCAGTTCCTCTTGTTTACTGACGTGTCAAGAGGAATCGTGGGCATGGCCAGTATTGATAATCCCGATATTCAGACAATAATTCTGAGGGCTGTCAAACCACTAGCAGTTACTTATCACGTGGCGGAGAAGGTGAGTACTACTAAAGAACATCAATGGCTTTATCTAGTCTTGAAGGATAGACAACAAACTTAATGATAACAAAACGGATATAAGTGCAAAGCAATATTTAAACCAGACCCTTTTCTTAATAGTCTTCAGTTTCTTAATAGAACTTTATTCACATGTATTATGGAACTTCAATTGCAGAAAGTTTACTTTGCCGATGCCAGAATGCGTGCCATCTACAAGTGCAATTTAGACGGAACTGGTGTAGAGGCCCTGCTAAACAGTTCCCATGGCATTGGTCAAGTCGAAGGTTTACAACATTTATTATACCCCCCGCTTGAAAAGTGGGAGGGTATATATAGTAATCGGTATTTCCGTCCGTCTGTCCGTCTGTTACGCTGGTCAAGTCTGCACTGAAGGTTTACAACATTTTTTGAATTTTATTTTATAAATAACAGATGCATTTCTTTTCAAAATTAGGTAAGACCTGTTTCTACTAACATGAAACACCTTGAAGGTGCACGTTGTTGATTTTTATCGAAATCCACATACTCAGAAAAAAAAATATATGTACTTGTCTGAAACCAGTGTAAAGAGTATTTCAAGAAATAAAGAACTCTATATTAATATCATATTGATCAATTAAAGTTGGCAGTAGCCAAGAAGTAGGATGTTCACTCCATTATCAGGAGTTATCGGTTTTGATTCCCATTTCCGTCACCGCTCCAAACCTGAAACTACTAGTATTTTTATGTCATAAGACCGGCATCAGAAGTAAAAGCCACTGCTTATTCCGATGATTCCTTAATATATCACAGAAGGCTTTGGTATGATAAAGACCCTGAAGGTTACAGCAGGCATTGGAAAATTAAAGAAGGCTCAAACCCCAATTACACTGAATGCTGCGCGAGTAATGTTCCAAATTTAAAGCTCTTCACGGATACTTTTGGAAACGTCTTGAATGTACATCAGTAAAAATTCTCAAAGGAGACGTATAACGTCAAACAAACAAGAGACTGTATTGAAGACATGATGTATCATACTGTATGCCAAAAAAATAGGTGTGAAAGTTTCAATTCATTAAATGCTAGTACATTTATACCACTTCTAAAGCATCCCATGTCACAGCAGTCATGGTCATACTAAAGACCGCTCAATGACCCAAGTTCGGGGTATAGCCCTTCACCGGTGTTTGTTGACCTGTCACATGTTTGAAAATTCTCGCAAGGGACATAAAACTATCAAGCAATTTAAAAACTTTCACAGAAAAAAAAACCTTGGACCTTTTCTTAATCAATTTAAAGAATTTAATTTTTGTCTTATTTACAACCGTATTAGAATTTTAACCCAGTGATAATTTGACAATACTTTTTCATAATTTTCCAATATCAAACAGGATTGTCTATCGACTACAATCAGAATCGCCTTTACTTTTCCAACATGGGGTTCGAGGAATACTCTGGAGTGGTCAGATCGTGGCATGCCATAGAAATGATAGACCTCGGTACCCGCAAAAGAAGGACCATTGTGACAGAAGTTGAGAAACCAAGGGCTCTTCTTGTGGACTCAATTAATAGGTCAGTAATTGAAAAACATGTAATTTTCCAACATGTCCTATAAAAATACTCAGTGTGAAATTACATGATTTTGTTTATTGTATCGGACTTTTGTAAAAATATTTCCCATTCTCTCTTTTTGTGTACCAGTTTAATAGTGAGGTAATCGCTATATTTTCGGCCGTATTCATCCTCGATTTCATCAGATTACATGCTTGCTGTAAATCGTACACCTGATTTCCAAAATCCACATAGATATTGTCAATCAGAAACTCAAGCATCTTTTTGATGTCAACTTCAGAGTACTTGTGTGTGCAATCAGAATCTTTTTAAACAAAATAATTCTGCAAATTACCAATGAAAGGTACGTAAATTCACAAGTTTCATTTGCATTGAAAAAGCAGCTGTCGAGGATGTCAGAAAGTCTGAACATTTATTCATCGTGGGGAATGGTTGTGTGGAAAGTTGAAAAGTCGTAAGTTTTTAAGCTGTTGATCTTGGTAGAATGTAGTGATTTCTAATTTTCCAAAAGTTCCTTGGAATTTTTATAGTATTGACATCTGATTTACACAACTTCTCGAATAAATTTTCTCTTTCACTACTGTTAATATCTTAGTGAAGTGTAAGAAAGAGGCTTGGTAGAACATTCACTGGAACCCGCTATTTATCTTTGTAAGGATTTTTATGAAGTTTTATAATATATATATATATATATATATATATATATATATATATATATATATATATATATATATATATATATATATAAAGCACTAAAAAACCAACAACACTGTATATCCTAAATGTCGGATCTACCAAGTAGATACAAGGTCACGGATGGAAATTTATATAAAGCACTAAAAATGACCAACGACACGAACAATAAAAATTGTCAAATTTTCGGGACGCCCTGTCCCTTCCTCAGGACAAAGAAGAAAGTTAAAAAGTCATAAGAACAAAGGAAAAAGAGAAACAAAAACAACTAGCACTACTACTAAACTACTAAACACTAGATATTTACATACTTAATTACATGTTGAATTGGAAATTTTTAAGAACACTAATAAAGAAAGAAATCCGGACCGCTATGAAATGCGTCCGGTCTATCGGGTATACTCGGGTGAAGTGCGATTTACATAATTGAACGAATTAATTATGCTAATTAATTACGACAATCAGTAAATCGTACATTGTTTCATTCTCTCAAAATGGCGTAACTTTACTAAATAAAGAATAATCAAAGAAAAATAAAATAGCAGGGATATTTAAACATATGAATTATGATCAATTATAAATTTTGAAATATTTAAGGACTTATTATCGGGAAAAAAAATTAACAAAGGTGTAAGCAATACATAGTTATGTGGGTTGTTCGAGAGTTGGTGACGCAAATTAACTGTAAAGTTTACACTAAATTGAGAGAATAATCTTGTTTAGTATCATCAGGAATTGGGTCTAGTTTACGTTCATTCTGGTGAAGTCATTCAGTTTGTTAATACCATTAGGGCGGAATGACTTCAATCTGTGCATCCAGAACTTTTCTTTGCTTTTTCTTTGAGCATCTGTCCATCTTGGGTTATGGTCAATCACCACTACTGTCATGTCCTCCCATTTGTGACCCTCAAGGTTGAAATGTTCCCCAACGGGTTCATTGAGTTTTATGGTCCTAATTGTCGAACGGTGGTTATTGACTCTCCTGCGGAGATCTCCTGTTTCACCAATATACTGTTTGGAGCAAACTTTGCAACTGATGAGATAAATGCAGTTGTCAGTATGACAGGAAAAATTCCTTAGTATTTTGTAGCGGCGGCCTGTAACAGGGCTGTTAAAATTGTCTGTGTCAGTGCTGTGCTTACAAAGAAGACATCTTATGTCAGAGCAAGTTTTAAAGCCCCCGTTAGGTAATGGGTTGTCCAGTCTGGTTCTTACTACCATGTCCTTTAGGTTCCTTGGGCGTCTGTATGCAGCCAATGGGGGTTCCTTAAAGACCTCTGCCATTCGTTTGTTTGAATGGAGAATTGGTAGGTTCTTTTGAAGGATACCGCTAAGGTTCTTAAGGACGGGATGGTATGTGGTTACCAGAGGGACCCTGTCGCTATTGTCTTTTTCCTTGTAGCGATATGTAGCCATAGTCAGTGCAATTGGACACCCCACAGAGAAAATTTCTGAATTCATTGATTTACATCTCCGTCCACACGTAGAGAATTTGCCATCCTATCTCAAGGACACCACAGACTACATTAACAAGACGCCCTCTACTGGCCTCCCAGATCATACCCTCCTCGTGACTATTGACGTCACATCTTTGTACACCAATATTCCGAACGATGAGGGTATCGAAGCCTGTAGAGAAGTCTGGGATAGTAGATCCATACAAATTCCTTCTACCGAGTCCCTTGCTAAGCTCCTTGAACATGTTCTCAAGTTCAACAACTTCATATTCAATGGAGAACATTACCTGCAGGTTAATGGCACTGCTATGGGTACGAAAATGGCACCGTCTTATGCCAATGTCTTCAACTTGCTACTTCAAGCACCATTTAGGCCCCATAGCTGGTTGCGTTTCATTGACGATATAGAGATGAGTGGGTGTCGCGAGAGCCTCGAAGCATTCATTACGTTTGCCAACACCTTTCATCAGTCGATCAAATTTACAGTAGACATACCTAATTCGAAAAACGTATTCCTAGATACTACATCAACCCTGATTGATGGTGAAATCGAATTCAGTCTCCACACCAAACCCACAGACTCCCACCTATATCTTATGCCCACTAGCTGTCATCCCCCACACACTTTTAAGGGAGTGCCTAAAGGTCTAACCACCGGAATTCGACGCATCTGTTCGTCCCCTGCCTTATATCAGGAGCAAAGTGGTCTTCTTAAGTCCCACTTATGCAAAAGAGGCTACAATGCCCGCACCGTACAAACAGCTATTGATGAGATGGCGGAACATGACAGGCAAAACCTATAACCACCGTTCGACAATTAGGACCAAAAAACTCAATGAACCCGTTGGGGAACATTTCAACCTTGATGGTCACAAATGGGAGGACATGACAGTAGTGGTGATTGACCATAACCCAAGATGGACAGATGCTCAAAGAAAAAGCAAAGAAAAGTTCTGGATGCACAGATTGAAGTCATTCCGCCCTAATGGTATTAAACTGAATGACTTCACCAGAATGAACGTAAACTAGACCCAATTCCTGATGATACTAAACAAGATTATTCTCTCAATTTAGTGTAAACTTTACAGTTAATTTGCGTCACCAACTCTCGAACAACCCACATAACTATGTATTGCTTACACCTTTGTTAATTATTTTTTCCCGATAATAAGTCCTTAAATATTTCAAAATTTATAATTGATCATAATTCATATGTTTAAATATCCCTGCTATTTTATTTTTCTTTGATTATTCTTTATTTAGTAAAGTTACGCCATTTTGAGAGAATGAAACAATGTACGATTTACTGATTGTCGTAATTAATTAGCATAATTAATTCGTTCAATTATGTAAATCGCACTTCACCCGAGTATACCCGATAGACCGGACGCATTTCATAGCGGTCCGGATTTCTTTCTTTATTAGTGTTCTTAAAAATTTCCAATTCAACATGTAATTAAGTATGTAAATATCTAGTGTTTAGTAGTTTAGTAGTAGTGCTAGTTGTTTTTGTTTCTCTTTTTCCTTTGTTCTTATGACTTTTTAACTTTTTTCTTTGTCCTGAGGAAGGGACAGGGCGTCCCGAAAAGAACTATATGCGGTATATTGCGTATATATGCCCCCACAAAAGTCAAATTTTGAAAATTTCCTGAAATGTGCTGAATTCAATAAATTGTATGAGAAATATAAATTAACAGAAAATATTATAGTGTCAAAGCAGTGTATTCACAATTTATGTTTTTATGACGTCACAAACTAGTCCGATTTTATATCCTTTTTCAGAAAGAGGACAAAATGGGTAAAATTTCAACAATTTTGGCTTTAAAATTTATAGAGCGCAAGTTTGTTCAGGAACAATATTGACATATTTCATTGATATCATCATTCTACATATGATATCAAAATATTGATCCTGAACACACATGCGCTCGGTGACTTTTACTCAAAATATCGACTAAAAATGTACATTTTTCTGTAAAATTCATAAATAACTGAAATTAACGTCATGTTTATGACGTCATTACGTACATATGACGTCATAACTTTTGAAAATATTCAGTGCTTTGAAGTCAGCATATACTCCCCTGTTTAAGATCTTATTTAAATATATCTCCATCAAAGTTTGATTTGGGGGGCAAATATTGGTTATTACCGAATAAAGTTCCTTGACAATTTTTATTGTTCGTGTCGTTGGTCATTTTTAGTGCTTTATATATATATATATATATATATATATATATATATATATATATATATATATATATATATATATATATATATATATATATATATATATATGGTAATTCAAATTCATTTTGGTTCATCGGAATATTAAAGATATTCAAAACTGACATATAATTTTGAAAATTTGTTTTCTCAGAAATGGAACTATGAGTATAAGTTGGATTACCACTTGTAGAATTAAAATTTCTTCTAAAATACAATGTATATAATGAGCCTTACAAATAAGGGCAATGGTGGTTCCAGCTTTGTCAGCAAGAACCAGTACGTACTGATAATGTAATCTGGATTATTGAATACAGAGGGATAGATGGTTTTCATATTTCCCGTCAATCTTTTAATGTGCGATTATAACATGGATCTTATACATTTGATCCATTCTGATACAGTGTCAACGTCTTTTTCGTAGCTGGTCCATCGCCTGCGTAATCTTCTGCAAAATCCATTATATTTATAATATTCCGACGCCAGTTGATGGATCAAGGTTCCCTATATTAAGGACCATTTAAAATTAGTGATCGAAGGTCCTTATTATTAAATATATTTACGTCACCATTAATAATGTTTCCTGCAGGACTATAGTTATAGGGTGAAGAACATGAACACGATAGAGGATTATGTTTTCGACATTCGATATCCAGGCCCTATGTAGTTTTTCTGTAATCTGTTTCATATTTTGAAATTTTAATAGAAAAGGACGTTAATGATTATCAAACAACAAAACTTTATGATAAAGTTCAGACCTTTAGACATAGTGAGTACTCCGAAATATCTGACGTTTTCCAGACCTTCTCTATCCCCTCGAATTTAATATTTTAAGAGTCAGGAAATGTTTTTCCTGGCATATAAATATTAAAATCTTGAAAAAGTCTGGAAAACGTAAGATATTATGAAGTACAAATGACTACTGCTTTTCAATGAAAATGGAACTTGTGAATTAATACATGTACTCCGAAGTAGATATTAAAAGATGCTTGACTTACTGAAAATATAATGTAATATAATATAAACAATATTTTTGTAACTTATGGTGTTCAAATCAAATTTTTATTGACGCTTGGAATTCCTGTTATAATTTGCTATGTAGTTTGGCCTTCAAATTGCTGTTAAGATATATCGCAATATGATTGATTGATTGATTGTATATTGTTTAACGTCTCTCTTGAGAATATTTCACGCATATGGAGACGTCACCGTATGCCGGTGAAGGGCTTCAATTTTTTACCTATACTCGGCACTCAGGGCCATTGAGCAGAGAGGATTCTTTATCGTGCCAGCGCCTACCGTGACACGGGACCTACGTTTTTAAGGTCATATCCGAAAGACCCGTGACTTTCACTTCTAGTGCCGAGCGCTTGGCGAAGGAACAGTCACTACCTTTGTTTACGTCTTAGGTATGACGCGGCGCCGCGAACGAGAATCGAACCCGGGCCTCCCGATCACGTATCGCAATATGAAAACTATCTATCCCTCTGTATTTAACAATCCAGAAGTGAAAAAAGAATTACTTAGATTACATGATCAGTTTGTAATAGTCCCTGCTGACAAAGCAGGTAACAAGATTGTCTTCGTTTGTAAGGCCCGTTATATAAATTGTATTTAAGAAGAACTTGGATTTAGTGGTAATCTAACTTATACTCATAGTTCCCTCTCTAAAGAAAAAATTCTCATGTCAGTTCTGATTATGTTTTAGATCCCCAAAAAAACAAAATGAATTTGAATTACCTTATCGATATTGGATTCCGAAACTTCATAAAAATCACAAAAATACAAACAAAGCTACATTACGGGTTCCAGTAAATGCTCAACCAAACTTCTTTCTTTACTCCTCACTAAAATATTAACAGAAGTGAAGGATCAAGAAACTTCAAGAGTGCTGTGCAACAATTATTTAAGATGTGATTTAAATTAGATGTGAATACTTAAAAATTCCAAGAAACTTTTGGACAATTTGAAATCAAAAGACTTTATCAAAGCTAAAAAACGTAAGACTTTTCAACTTCATTCTCCACGATAAATTAAAGTCCATGCTTTTTGATATCATTGACTGCTGTTTTTCAATAAAAATGAAACTTGTGAATTTACTTACCTTGTCATTGGTCATTCGCAAAATTATGTTGTTTAAAAAATTCTGATTGTACAAACAAGTACTAAGTACTCTACTCTGAAGTTTACATCTAATGATACTTGAGTTTCTGATTGAAAATGCATGTCTTTGTGGTTTTTGGAGACCAGGTATTCCAACAATCTCTTGGAATTCCCATGGGTACCAAATGCGCCCCGTCATTAGCAGACATATTTTTGTATTCATATGAAGCAGAAATTGTCCAAAATCTTGTATGTGAAAAGAAGAAAACACTTGTTGTGGCTTTCAACTCGGCATTTAGTTATATCGACTACGTATTGTCAATTAACAATGGTAATTTCCATTCTTATGTCGATACAATATATCCTGGTGAGCCTGAGATAAATGATACCACAGAGTCTGACACATCTGCTTCATATTTTAATATTTTCCTTGAAAAAGACGTTAATGGTAATCTGACAACCAAACTCTATGATAGACGTGATGACTTTAAGTTTATATTTACAATCGTCAACTTTCCTTACTTATGTAGCAATAAACCTTCATAATCTGCATACAGAGTTTATATATCTTAGTTGATTCGATACGCAAGAGCATAGTCTACGTATGAATAATTTTTGAAACGAGGTATATTATTGTTTGATGAAAAAAGAGTATCAGAAGTCTTGTTTAAAGTCATCATTTTGTAAGTTCTATGGTCAATGCAATGACCCTGTAAGCAAATACAATTTGTCATTGAGTCAAATAATGACTGACTGACCGGTCGGCAGGGGATGCTCACTCCTCTATGGCACCTGATCCCACCTCTGATGCTTTAGAGGTCCGTGTTTGCACTGATCCTGTTTTGTATTGTTTTATGGACTTTGATCTTGAATACTGTTTGTTATCTCCGTATCCTTCATACTAATTGTTAGTCTATTATCTATACACTGAATTGACGACAAATTTTGCTGTTATTATCCAATCATAACAAGGAGCAAACGGCGGTAGTGACTGGTAGGCAGGGGATGTTCACTCCTCTACGGCACCTGTTCCCACCTCTGATGTTTTGGAGGTCTGTGATTGCTCTGCTCCTATTTTGTATTGTTTTATGGACTTTTCGACAATGTATTTACAGTAATCAATCTTCATTTTTCATTCTTATATTGAATAAATATATCCCTTGGATCTCAAAATAAAATAACCCACAGAGAACGGCCCAAGATTAATGTTCAGATAATTTACTAGGAAAAGATATAAAGTCAACATTTTGCAAATTCTATGGTCTGTACAAATGACCTTGTTAATTAACATTGCAATCTTGCGTTATTTTGTTTGAATGTTGACTAATAGTTTTCGTACAGATTGTTACACCGTCATTTTCACTATGAATTTTCAACGAATTTTTCTGTTTGCTTAAACATTCCCTCTTACTCCTTGGTATCCGATCCCACCTCTGATAGATTAGAGACCCCTGTTGTTCTGCTTTCCATTTTGAAATGTCTCAATGAATTTCTTGTGCTTGATTTCTGTTCTTTCTTTTCACATTATATCATACTACTATCCTTTACACTGATTCCATTCACGCCCATTTTCTAAAAACAACCAACATCTATATTTTTGGTAGAGACATTTTTCTATAAACTGTCCGTGTGCATGAATTGGCGTATTCTAAATTTAGCGCTAATATTCAGTGGATATTGAGTTGTTGGCGTACTTATGAATTAGTGCTACACTCTAACACGCGATATATAATATATTCTTGAAATATCGCATCTTTGTCTGTACTAAAACTGCCAATGCATGAGGTCCGTTTTTTTTTTCAGTTCACATACAGAACGTATCAGATCTTAAGTTTCATTACACATTCAAGTCAATAGTTCCTAATAAGGGACATTGTTTATTTCAGATTGCTCTACTACACGGACTGGGGTACATCCGGTCACGTGGGTAAAGTACAGTTAGATGGATCCAATAGAGAGGTCCTTTTTACTGCCGAGAACCCAAATGACCTGGCCATCAGTGATAATAAGTTACTGGTCGTCAATAATAAAAGTCCCTCCCCCGAGATGATAGAACTAACTCTTTCCAGTGGTAACAATCCAACTAGACGTCCACTTAGTGGCGTTGTAAGTATAGACCCTTTTCCTATGGCACATTTTGCCTTGGAGTTATTCCCCTTAGCCGCCATATTGTAGGGCAACATTCCCAGATCTCTTCATTATTCAACCAAGTTCAATTTGTTATACTGGTTACTGAGGTAACTATAACCAGTATAACACTATTTTTCTTATGAATACACATTTGTTATAGCCTCTATTACTAGTAATTCATGATAGTAAGATTGTAAATATGTTCCCGCATATTTTTCTTGCATGCATGTTTAAAATCGGTTGCTCAAAGAGGTAAATTCTCTACTTTGCCCTACAAGATGGCGGCTAAGGGAAATAACTCCTAAGCAAAATGTGTCATAGGAAAAGGGTCTATTGAAAGGGATTAAAGTTCTTTCTACCAATAATAGATTCTGTATTCGTAAATATTTGTTTTCTAAAGGAACACTATTGCAAAGAATGTTTATTTAATAAAACTGAAATAAGATTTATAATGAAAATAATCGAATATGTTGAGAAATAATGAAATAGTTATGATTGGTACATATGAAGAAAGCATACCTTTTGCTACTTTTATAGGAACCACTATCAATGGTCGTATCAGGGAATAACCGTCTGATCAGCTCATTCACTGGTGGTATGAAAAGCTACACTAGTAGTCTTACTGTGTCCTCTAGCTATAGCATCGGTCTGTTCACTCGGATGTCCATCGTCGACACCACTGTCATGAAACAGCAAGGTATCTAACATTTTCAAGTAAGAATTCTATTTTTCAACTCACCATTCTGGGTAAATATTTGGAGTGCACGTCTTTTGTTGTAGATGGAGGATTATGCTCGTCATCTAGTTCCTGCTCTGATATTTGTGTGACATCACCAGATTCCAATTATCTCACCTGTCTGTGTCCATCAGATCAGTTCAACATACAAACCAGTGACCGTCTGTCGTGTCAAAGTAAGCAACATCATATGTGTCATTTACAAGAGACCTGTCTATACTGTCAGAGAACCCAAAATACCTCCCTGTCATTAGTGTAGTGCCATCTGTACCTCTGAATGTTTTTTTTACCACCCAGCAAAAAAAGAACTTAATATATTCAAAGTCAAGAGGCAATGGTTCACTAAGCTCACACAAAGATCACCCCTCTCCCACAAGCCTTTGATGGTACATTGTTTTGCTATGGAAAACCCTTAGCATTAGTACATACCGGTATATGAATGGATAAAAGAGCAATAAATAAAATATATTTCCTTGCATATATTAATATGTTTACAATATGTAAAAACTTTAAACATTCAAATTCTATAAATCGAATATACATATACAAATTTGTTTTGGGAATAATATAAATGTTAAACTACAGAGCCAGAGGATTACTTGCTGTTTGCCGACATTGACGGGATCAAACTGGTTTCCCAAGGACCCACGAATGACGACCATGTTTATACCATAATTCACCCTAGTGCGAGCTGTAGCCATTTTTATGGTCTCGTAGTGGACAAGAACAAGGAATACGTCTACTTCAGTGCATTACAAGGGTGTGTAAAGAAAAAAGATACTTATAATTGTCTGTCTTAGCTATGAAGGACCTTTAATTGTCATAAGAGCTTCAGATATCTCTAAAAATCTCAGAATTATAAAATAATGTAACTTGTTCTCTGGTATAGAAATTCTGTTTTCCGAGCCAAAGTCGATGGTTCCGACATTGAAAAATTTGTAACTGACGAGAACAGTAAAATAACCAGCCTAGCTTTAATTGGAACTGATCTGTTCTGGACCTCTACAAACAACACAGATAACTCCACGGGGTCTATAGTTCACTGTAGCACGGCCGATACCGATAGAACACTCACAGTGTTGTCTACTACGACAGCGGAACCATTAGACATCGCAGCAGATGAAAGGTAAAAGTAGAATGGATAGCGTTAAGCTCTTTAATGATCTTAATGATTCTGGAAATACTCGAATTTTGCGGAATAGAACATAAGTATTCTACAGTGCATTCAGGCATTTCTTTGATCAACATGTACTTTTACTTCATAGTAACATTTACTGGACAGAGAAAAGTGTCACTGGAATTAAGAGGTTCGACAGACGTGAAACAAACACGGAACGACTCCCTATGCCCAGTGGTGAGGCAGTGGCTATTACCCTCTCTGATCCCTCACGTCATCTCCTCTATGCTACAGACTCCAATGTCAAATTAAGGCGGTTTCCAAATATCCAAAATGGTAATCCATTGTTGAAAGATTTTATTTACAGTAACAATTACTAGTATCCTGATCTCAGCCCGAAAACTGAACATTTATTACAATGAACTAAAGTTTCTTATCAATATGCCTTTGTTTACAGATAATGGATGGCTAGGACCAAATATAGGTGCTTACCGCACAGAACAACTATGTCTCGATCTTAATGGATTTGTTGTCTGAGTGAATTTATCCTGTACTTTATTTTTAGATGATTCTTCTCTGACTGACACTATCAACGAGGACGATGCGAGATCTCTGATGGCTACGAGTCAGTTCTTGTATCTGTCCAGGTGGAGAGACAACAGCACTGGATCTGTCTTACGTCATAATCTGATGACGAAAACAACAGAGCTCGTGACTAATGCTGCGGTACGGCCAGGACAGATGGTTTATATATCAAGACAGCCATCATCAGTACAAGGTATACAGAAATGGAAAACTGAATAAAAAAGAATGTCATTTACAACCAAGATACTTTATTATTAAATATAACCTACCAAAGACAAGGAATCTTAAAAACTTTTTTTTAACATGTGGTTTAGATTAATGTACCATAATTGATATAATTTTTTTTCACCCAATGTTTTTTCTTTCATTTCAGTAATTAAAGTTTTTTTTTCTAATGACATTGAATGTCTATTTTAACTGTGACAATATAAATGTGTAATTTACATGTATAGGGAGAGGGCGTTATAAGTATTCAGTACTTGTGCTCAATCCCTTTGTAATTATATTACAATAAAATATGTTCAAATCAATGTCTATTTGTGATCTCATTGTTTCCATTCCTTTTTTAGATAAATCTGGAATTTGTCCCTCTGCACTGTCGTGTTCTAGCATATCCGCATGTTCGTTAGATGTTGACTGTTACGGCAGCAGTAAGTGTTGTGGAACACGCACCTGTACACGGTGTACCACTCCAGACAAAGGAAGCGACTGCAGCAAAAATGGCATTTTTATACAGGTGGGTACCTAAATTCGACTTTATTACAAAAAGTAATACGATTATCAAATGTTCTTAGTGAATATAAAGGTAATGAACAGTGATCATTCTCAAATGTTTATTTAAAAAATCCAGATTAAAAGCAACCAACGTGGACCTTCGAAAAAAGATGAGGGTCCAAGCATATACAACCTGTATGTAACTCAGCGATTTAAATGTTGTAGAAAATAACGAACAGTATTCAAGCTCAAAAGTTCGTTTAAACAATACAAACTAGGATTAGAGGAAAGAATGACCACTAAAATATCAGAGGTGGGAACATATGCCACAGTGAAGGTATGCCACAGAAAAGTTTTCATTCCCTGTCGACTAATAAATTTTTTCTCCAGGTCTCCTAATAGTTGTGCACAATTTTAAAAATACCATTGGACATTCGAACACTTTAATTGAGAGCCTTGTCTCATAGAATTACATATATACAGCTCAAAGCTCACACGGTTTTTGCACAAATTAAGGTCACATTTTTGAAATAAAAATTACTATTTTCGAACTTCAGAACGATAACACAGCCCTACGTTATATTACATATATAATTTCAAGTATAAATGTTCTTTAAAATTATTATCTTAAGTTTCCAAAGTGGATTTTTAGAGGGGAATTTATCAATTAATGTTACGATGTTTCTTCTGTAGGCTTCTACCATAGGTTTTTTTTTTTTTTTTACAAATGATATAAAACCTGCTTTCATTGATACAATGTAATTGAAATTTTTGAATTTTCTTCTTAAAGGTGAGTATTTTTTAAAATTCTTTGCTCATTTACCATACTCATATTGGTTTTGTCGAAATGTAGCATCGAAAAGGGATAATATTGCAAAAGGAAAACACACTAAAGGGTAGGATAATGAAGTATTGTTTATTTTTTTAAATAGTATTTTTTTTTTCTATGAAAAGGAAATTTCATCTGCATTTACGGTTTGAAACGTTAAAATTCAGTTAAAAGGTTAAAAGTCAGAATGTACAGAAAATACAAGTTACAGTAGTATACTATGCCCGTGTCTGTGTTTCTGCAAAGAGCTACTGCTTTCAAAAGAATGGATAAAAAGACAGCTGCAATTGGCAATAAAACACAAAAAAAATTAATGGAAATAGTTGTTATTTTTCAGCCAAGAATATATCAAAGTTCTACCAATTGATTTGTATGAATTATGTTTTAGTAAATGAAATAAAACTCAAATAACGTAAACAAATACTTTTAAAATGTACTTTTATGTCTCAAAACACAATAATACATTATAACAATGTGACCTTAATTAGTGCAAAAAACCATGTGAGCTGTATACTATGAAAACAAGTAGGTGATACTTTAGTTTGTAATCAAAATGTTCACGTATACAAAGGGATAGGAAACCATGTCGTAAGTTCCTTTAAGAGGAAGCATTTTCAAAGAAATTCATCACCGAAACACATCCATCACACTCTCACGCTCTGCACGGGTCAAGGGTGTTGTGCCACAAATTTATGTGAAAACCACTCTAAAGAAAGATTTTGCAGAGAAAGAATCAGATTGTATCTGAATGAAGTCGTTATTTAAACAGAGACCACGCGCCGTCTAACACAGGATGAGAGGTTTCTTGCCCTTGGCATGCTATGGGTTGGCACTGTGGCAAGGGCAAATAATGTATCCCGGTCTGTTATCAGCAAATTATGGTCCAGACACCGTGCTAAAAAGTTTGTTCAAGATAGACCACGATCGGATCGACCAAGGGCAACAACTCATGATCAGGACAGGACAAAATCATCCGGGCTATATTGCCTTGATCATGAGAAATTGTCTGGATACTGGTTTGTCAGTGAGTGTCCAGGCAATCAGGGATCAACTGCATAGATTTCACTTCCACGCCCGCCATCGTGTCATTCCCTGTTTGAGGGATCGTCACATTTAGCTTTCGTTTCCACAAAAGCTTTCTCTCTCTGAAATTTAACATAACAGAATCCCTTTTTTTTGAATTTGGGGTCAAAAGGTCAACATTCAAGGTCGTAAAGAACTACGAACGATAGTATTATTCTATCTATAAGTCAATTCTCAAAAGTTAACATCTTGGAATGATTCTCAAAATTTTTATACATATTTATATGGCCCGACTCCAATGGTGTCATCACAATCAACGTTGGGATAATCGCTGATGGAAACACGTCATGTTCTCAGATGAGTCAATGTTCACTATAGCTTTGCTGGACAGAAATAGGTAGGTTTGTCATCGACGTAACGAATGTTTCCATTACGTTAGCATCATTATACATTGGTATGGGGTAGACCATAAAGACCAGGATCGTTGAAGATTATCACCTCATTACCATTGCCTGCACTCAGTCTTGATCTTTCCCCCATCGAGAATTTTTAGGCATGCTTGGACAGTGGCTACGCTAATGTCAACAACCTTCTGCCAATGTCCAAGAACTTGCTGAAACATTGCAACAGCAATGGAATAACTTTCTTCTAGGAATCTCAGCTTGTCTGACCAACCGAGGGGATTTTACCCGCTATTAACTCTGTTTAAGAGTGGTGGTAAATTTGTTGTGTGACCCTGTGTTGATGCTGACCCTAACTCTGAAGAATCTGTCCCTTTCTGACTGTAGACACTGCGAAATTTACCAATGAAAATAGAGAACTTATTATACATATGACATGTATGAGTTCAATATTTATTTATAGAACAATGGTGAGGCTGTGGTGCTGGATTGTGAGAGATGTTCCTGTGTCAACAGCAGTCTGACCTGTACAGTTCTATCATGTCCAGATCTTGGGTCCTGTCCTGCTGATAACCAGGTGAAGCTCGCCGGATCCTGCTGTTCTGAATGCACAGGTAACGCTTTTTAAGTTTATCAACTTACAATACCTCATTTTGTCTTGCTCACTCATTAAGAGTTTTTTTTTATCTATATAACTATTTTTATTTTCAGCAACAACTGTTTGTTCAAGTCCACGTAAGTAAAGACATTTCGTCAAAAATCAATCCAGTTTGTTTGTTTTTTTGTTTGTTTTTTTTTTGCTTTGAACACTTTTGAACATTTTATGTTTTACATTTTTAGCCACAATAGAAAACTGTCCATTGCCTTCCTCCATCGTTAGACTGCTGCTAACTGCTGACAGAGATACAGTAGATATCTTTCTGCATACTATTGTCTCGGAATCTACATATGGCAAAAGTTGTTCTGGCCAAAAGTTGGATTTAAAACTCACAACCAAATCGCTAAAATGGAAAGGAAATATACAACCTGTGGATATTACAGCAACAGACAAACATGGCACTGCGACGTGTAGTGTAAACGTTCATGTCATTGGTATATAAAAATAATCAATTTTCACGATGTCTTTCCTGTAAAATGTATTTTGCATCTCTCATATTATTTCATGCAAATGATTTCAAAATGAATATTTTAACGACAAATTCTTTCTATAATGTGAAAAATTAAATTCAATTCTGGAGATAAAATTGCTATGGCTTTGGATGATCATTTTAATAAGTGTCTCTGTCTGTTTCAGATAAAATCGATCCAGCTTTGACTTGTCCAAGTGGTGTACTTCAGGCTTATATAACAGAGTACAGCAAGGTGGTGACGTGGCCACCCGTGACTGCTAGTGATAATACGGGTAAAGTGACCTTGACCTCCAACAAAGAAAACGGAGTAGATAGACCAGTCGGTTCACACTTAATTCGCTATGAAGCTCGGGATCAGTCTAACAACAAGAGAGAGTGCTCATTTTCAGTGAATGTTACAAAGCTTGTAGGTAAGATAATAATTTATACAGCTTGCAAAGGAGGTAACAACTGTAATTTCAATCTGCAATTGGGATTATAGCTCCCTTTCTAAGGAGGAAATTCTTCAAAATGGTGTGTCAAATTAAAATGATTTGGAATTCTTATACTGGATTCCTAAACTTTGTAAAATCCCAATAAATGTACATATTAGAAGCTAGCGAAAGGAAAACTTCGGGAGTACTGTGCAACTATATGTGATGTAAATCAGATGTGGATATTTAGAAATTCCAAGGAAATTTTTGCAAAATCAATAACATCAAAACTTACGACTTCCCACTTTATACAAAAAATTAAGCACAGACATGTTTTTTTCGGAAAGACATTTGCCTCCTAAAATAGAAATGTAATTTACTTACCTTGTCATTGGAAATTTGAAAATATTATTTTGTAAAAAAAAAAAAATATCTTGATTCTACAAGCAAGTATTCTGAAGTCGAAATTCTGATTGAGAGTAACCATGTAGTTAGGTCACCGTCTTCAAATATTCTTTCGAAATTCTCAATTAAAAACCAACAGCTTTCCATTATTACCAAAAGTATTTTGTATTCACATTAAGTAGTTAAAAATATATAAATGAGACCATGGAAACACCTGCTGTGTTCTTCAACTCGACCTTTAGGTTGTTGACTACAAATTATCAGTTTTCAATTGTTACGTCCATTCATATTATCTACATCATGCATATCCCAATGGACTTGGAAAAAGATACCACAGAGTCTGACACATTTGTATAAGATTTGAATATTTTACCATTCGACCTTAATGGTAATCTAAGAACAAAGCTTTATAATAAACATGATGACTTTAACTTTTTCGTCAACTCCCCTTACTTATGTAGCATTATACATCTACTCGTGTCAAATGCATATGGGATTTGTTCCCTACTTGATTCGATATGCAAAAGCATACTCTACAAACGAACAACTCAAAACAATACAAAACAGGAGCAGAACAAACACGGACCTCCAAAACATCAGAGGTATGATCATGTGTCATAGAGGAGTAAGTATCCCCTGCCGACCGGTCACACCCGCCGTATCCTTCTTGTCATTATCGGGAAATAATCCGCTGTCAATTCAGTGTGTAAATAATGGCCTAACAACAAGTATGAAAAACGTCATTCAGCATTTGACTCAATGATAAATTGTATTTGCTGACAAGGTCATCATCGTATTCGACCATAGAACTTACGAAATGATGATTTTAAACAAGATTGCTAATATTTTTCATACGTACAGCATGCTCTTGCATATCAAATCAATTGAGATATATAAACACCGTATGCAGGTGATTAAAGTGTGAGGGAAGTTGTCGATTGAAAAGTTAAAGTCATAACGATTATCACACAGCTTGGTTGTTAGATTACCATTAACGTCTTTTCAAGTAAAATTTAAAAATATGAAATAGATGTATCAGACTATGTGGTTCCTATTATCTCAAGTTCACGGGAATATATCGAACCGACATAAGAATGGAAATAACCACTGTTATTTTACAATATATCGTCGATACATGTATATCTAAATTTTGAGATGAACGCACAGCAAGTGAATTCTTCCTTTCACGTACAAGATATTGGGCAAATTCTGCTTTCTATGAATACAAAAATAGATCTGCTAATAACGGGGTGCAATTGGTAACCATGGGAATTCCAATATATTTGTGGAAGACCTGGTCTCATAAAAACTACATCAGTACTTGAGTGTACAATTAAAATGTTATTTTTAACAAATTAATTCTGCAAATGACCAATAATGACAGGCATCTGTCAATGATATAAAAAATATGGACTTATTAATAAATTTATCGTCGTAAACGATTGTGTAAAATATTGAAAAGTTTTTAAGCTGTTGATATGAAAAAAGCTTGTTATTCAGGTCCAAATTTCTTGGAATTTTTAAGTATCCAATCTGATTTACATCACTTCTCGAATTCGTGATTTTTATGATAATTGCCAGGCCATTCTTAAAAAACTGAATTATTGACGGATTTGTCCCTTTTCCCCGATTATGGCAAGATCACACTGTGATTGTGACCGGTAAAGGGGTATAATTTCTCTGCCTGGACACCTGATCATAACTCGTATTTTTAAAAGATCCTTGTTTGCTCTGCTTATAAAATGAATGGTTGTGATGGACGCTTGAGTTTTTAGTTTAATAACTGTTGTTATTTATATATACCTGTATTTGATAAATAAGAACGTCTATTAACACAGGCTGTGAGAATCCTCCGATTCCTTTTAATGGTCTCTTAAGATGTAAGGACGCTCAAACACTAACGTGTCAGTTGGAGAAATGCAACGCCGGTTATATCAGATCCACTTCACACTCTCAGAGTCATGCATGTGATCAAACTAAAGGACAATGGGTACCCCCTTTCCCGCAGAATTTTAGCAACGTATGCATAAGTAAGTATTAAAGTATTTAAAGAAATTGTTTATACAGTAAATTTATCCTTATCGAGAACACGTAGTTATCTTTAAGTCTGTTTAAAATCAATCTTTTTCAAAAAACGTTTTTGAAAAGATTTTCCAATGCAATTAGTTTTTTAAAAGATATAAAATGATGCTTAAAGCGTAAACGGTATTATTTCATATTAAAAGGTTCTAACGTCCTCAAAAGGTTGTAGAAAATAAGGGCCTCGAATTATTCTCTACTGAACAAAATGCTGTATGTTATGGTAATGATAATATGATTACTTTAACAAATATGCCATCATGGCCATGGTTAGCACGGAAGGGAAAAAATCTAACCATCAAGTAATCAAACAATTACATGTTTTTCAGAACCTGGACCCTCAATTATTCAGCGAGATTACACATTTGAATTTAATTGCCCAAATTCGGAATTTGACGCGGGTGACTTGAGAGATTGTATTTCAAATGCCCGTTTGTGTCCAGTTGGCAACATTACACTCTGTGACAGACCGTTCAAGAGGATCGGGAGCACGTCTGTTAGTGGAAGTCTCCTGAACATCACAATGAGGATGGATGGCACTCTACCGTACGGTCACACAAGCTTATCAAATCCACATTGCACTAATGCTTACTTACATTATAATAAATGCATTGGAAATCATTATTTTTATGCTAGGCTTTAAAAATTATTTGAGCAGATATTAATTAAAATATTTATAATATTTTTAAATCCCCCTAACACTAATTATTTGTCGAATCAAAACTCAATTCAATTCAATTCAATTCAATTTATTCACTCAAAAACCATGTAAATGGTACATGAGGTACAAACATATAAAACATATATACATAAAATACAGCGGGTCAAGCAAAAGGTGATAATTAAGGAGAACAGACGATACTATTGATTTTAGAAATAAATGTACATAATTGTTTCAAAGACGCAACATCATTTTGGCACATGACTTCACAAAACTTGATAATATTTGGATTAGAGCAAAATTTTTGGTTCAAATAAACTTTCCTTAGTTGGTTTAAAGCACTACACTCTAAAATATAATGATACTCATTTCCTATCTGGTTACTACTACATAAGCTACAAACTCTTTCATTTCTTTGAGTACCATTCCATCTACTGCAGTACCTGTTTCAATTGGAAGGTGGTGATTTGTGGTTCTAAACTTAACAAAAGTTTTTCTAAAATTAAATGATAATAGTGTTAAATATTTTTCGCACTCAAAATTGGTTTAAAAAATTCTATAATTTTTTGAACTTTTTGAAGATTCTTGAACTTCACTATTCCACTTTTGAATATATTGATCTTTTAACTCGAATCTAAAGCCAAAGGTAATGGTAACACATAATTAAACTGTAATAATTAAATATGGGGTACTGTATAATGATGCGATGACGATTTATAAGTTAATATCACATTGTTTTGTACTAAACTGTATGCTGGTATTTTAATTATAAAAGCCATGTTAAGTAAGGATTAAAAATGTCATATTTACCTCATTTTATACGAGTAGTCTTTTACTAAAAACAAACATAACGATATTCCGTAATTGACCTCTTGTATAGATTGGTGTAATTGTTGTTTGTAAATCATACCCGTAGGTATGGTGAAGATAAAAGCAGTCTTGTACAGAAGATGGACGCTGCCGGCACTGCCATTGAGCTGTTCTTTCAGTTAGGTTCTTTCAAAACAAGATGTCCAAAAATTTCATGTCCGTTCAGGAAAACCTTTTCCACTAGAGACATAGGGACTTGTGAAGTCGGTTCCGTGGTATACAAAGTTGGAAACCAAGATGTATGTGGTAAGTTTTGTCAAGCCTTATAGTTCTGTGTACATGCATATGTATGAAGTAAACGAATTCTGAGGCAAGCTGCTGCATTAAGAGTACCTGATACAACTTATTTAATGACTAATGCTTATGCATAATAAAGGATGCATCACCAAAAACGTCATCAGTACTTTTGTTTTGCAGCTCCATGTCCTGCTGGATGGTTTTATGAGGGAGGCAAATGTACGGAATGCTTGCCCAATACCTATCAGGATCGACCGGGTCAAACATCCTGCAGATCCTGTCCGGATGGAACCATTTCCTCATCTGGCTCTTTTCTTGATTCACACTGTATGTCTGAATTAAGCTATTGTAATAATCATGATATTGTTTGAGTTAAATGAGCACATCTTTTCTGATTTTCAAGATTTAGCGGAGATATGCAAAAGTTTTCGAAATGTTTGCGGACATCGATCATCGCATTTCAGAAATCAGTAACAAGATCAACCATGAATCATATTGAATAAATCTTAGCAACAAATTAAATATTTTACGTTTGTAAATATTCTCAAATTGAATATTATTGTTAATACAACTGTGTATGTTTTTTTTATATGAGTTTAACTTTCTCCGAAAATATTTTGAGCAGCCCTTATGTAGTTCGTTTCTGTGTTTTAATTTATATTAGTTTTATTTGAAATAAAAAAGAATTATAAAACTAAAATTAACAAAAATTATCAAAATCAAATAGAAGACGCATATTAGAGCTTATTCCTTTATGATTAATTTTTCAGGCAAAGCTATGGAGAAATTAGAGGGCCCTCAGAAGACCTCGGATAATACGCTCGTGATAATTGTGGCGGTGGTGGCGGTAGTGGTTATCGTCCTTATAGCAGTTATCGTGGTTATATGCTATAAAAGACAAAAATCCACAGGAAATGACGCCAAAATGGGTAACTTTGAAAATCCCGCGTTTACAGGTCACAGGAACTCTGGCTTGATGATGGCGGAACCTATGCCGGAGGAATATGACCAAATTCCTGCAGATAAGGTACATCTATGTAAAAATGTACTAATTACAATATAGAATTAACTATCTTAATGGTAACATTATTTATTTCTATATCTTTAAAATAGATTACTTCTTTTTTAAAAAAAACAAATTAATGTTCAACCCCAAACCATGTTACATTGTTAAGTAAATACGGATTATCAAAGTATGGCGCCAAACCTTATACAAATCAATACTCAATTTACAATTGAGAACAGAGCAATTTCAAAATCAGATTAAGATTATTCTAAACTTTCCAAAACCATAATTCAATGTTATTTCAAGATTATGCTCTATTTCCTAAGATAACGATGACATCCATCTCCAATTTGCATTTGAACTGATTGAATTGGTTGAAAGAAATCATCAACATTTTTGCGACGCTTTTGTCATCGGTTTACGTGAATTGCCTGCATAATTGACGAAATAGTTGAGCTAACTGAAGCTGTACACGATTTGTAAAAAGTATTTTTCCGCCATTTTCCATCAGACTCTCGCTATATCTGAGGACCCCTATATAAAGGACCTGACTTTGTCACTGTTCAGTGTAAACAGTCGACACCGGTGTAGAGGGACTTATGATATACAGCACTGGATAGCGAGAAATATAACTATATTATTATTCTAATGCGGGAAATAATGATACCAAAGAAACTTACAAAAGTTGTACATGATTGTGCAGTATACGAACAAACACAGATACACTTAACTGCAATTCATTGTAAACAAAGGTAATGCATGAAAACCAGCACGAACACAGGTCGACATTCCACACCAATACCCGTGTTAATAAAGCAGTCAGGTGTACGAATACGATGAGTATACTCTCGTGTTGACATCCTACATAATTAATTTATATTGAAAATTAAGTATGCCTATTTACAAGTCGTGTTGAGCAGTTAAACAATAAAATGCTTTCTTTGGTTGTTAGAACGGAGAATTATTGTTGTTTCATTGATGAAACATCCACTGCTCAATAAATCTGTACAAGTAACTAGTATATCCTTTTTGCTGTTAACTGAATGATAAACCATAATAATTTCCATAAGAAATAAAGGAGATGATATTTAATGAATATACGTATATATAAATAAGTCAATATTTCTGGACAGGAATAATCACGAAGTGATATTTTTAAACTTCTCACACCAACAAACACAGAAGAAGACAATTTTCTAATTCAAATATGTAAATGTAATATTCTTTGGTCACACAGATGTTGTCAGAATCGCAGCTGCAAAATCACAGCAAAGGAATGTATGAAAGTTCAGGAGCAGTCTCAAAGAATGAACACACATACCAAAGTCTGAGCGGGGCCTCCAACAAGGCATACCAGGAACCGGACTACGAAGCTCCGAATAAAAGAGTGAGCAGTAATTACATGACCCTTACGGAATGACTTCCTTTATATTTACATTCCCTTGCTTTCATTTTCTATACAGATGTCTTGTGACGAAAATGATGTAAAAACTAACATTTATCTGTGATAAAAAAAAATTGATGATACATTTGGGTAGAGATCTAGTAAATGATTTTAGACTGTTTTTTTTTTGGTGCCAGTTCTATACTGAAGTTTTCAGTTTTGTGTAAATTCAATCATTTTTAATGCATTTATTGAAATTCATATAAAAAAAAATTAATTGGATACCCGTATAAAATCTATATTTTAAAGGAATGGACATCAACATATAAGATGTCATTTTCTTAGATTTTTTAGTCAATCTAGACACATTTTATTTACATTTTATTCAAAATTCATTAAGTTCATGTTTTTATCATTTTTATTGAAAGTAACTCTTATTTTTTTCCTGTTGTTTTCCGAAAAAAACCCCTCAGAACAGCTTATAAGAGAGTGCATTTTAAAAATCATGAATAAAGGAATTCTCATCTAACATAACGAAAGCCTCTAGGTACCTTCATTTACTAGTTCTGTACCTTGAGTGACTTTTATTTCTGATACAGCATGTATTTTTATGACAGAGTTTTGTACATTTTCCTGACTACTCCTGGAATGCTGTAACTGTTTTCTCTTTTAATGTTACATTTTGTATGTTATTTTTTTATATTTTGTTATTAAATTCTGTCAGCATGAAAAAGTTTGTGAAACATTTATTGTCCTTGTAATAAAGAATTCAGGGATATTTGGCCTACCCGTCTGTCTGCAAAAAGTATAACCTTTTGAATGGTTTGTCCTACATTTATTTTTATTTCACGATGTGAATAACTTGTTAGAAGACCTTTCTTGTGGTATAAATACATGTAGTTTTTATCTCATGACTGACTATGGACAAGTGAGTTGGTTTTACAGGAATTTCAATAAATGCGGTTAAAGTCATGAGTTCTTTGCCCTTGTTAGTTAATCTAGTTTATCATTTGGTCGTCTTTTGTTTGATTTGTTTAAAACTGATTGTCAAGCCTTATTTGAATACTGAAATTGAGTAACTGACCCGGAAAGCTTCATCTATCTGATCAAAATATACGGCTCAATTCGGGTGTGAACGGGAAATGCTTAATTCCCTTAGGTATGTGAATTTCCAGCCCTTTGTGATTCAAGCCCAATGGAATTTTTCATAATGAACATACTAAACTGTAAATACTAAATAAGTAAAAAAAGTATTTCAATAGAAATCTGAATAATTAATTGAAATGCAGCTAAATGTGATACCTTATACATGTATATTCTTTACGGTGACGTAGTTCTTCAACCTCAAACATTTCCTTCTATTAATGATGAGTCGTCGTATTTTTAAAAAAAAATTAGACAGTGACTAAAATCAGAACCAAATTAGGACCAGGAAAGGTGGTTAAATTCATCCACTTTTGGAATGCATCATATAAGACAATACTTTGGAAACATTAACTTGATAAGGAGATGCACCTGATATGATTCTTTTTCCCCAATCCTTGCATGTCGTATATGTTGATGCTATGAACATATATAAACACCCGCATGCTATGTTACACTTGAATATTGTATGATTACTTAAATATTTACTAATCTACGGTGTATTACTTAAGATTTTCTTGATATAAAACATAAATATCACCATTTGTAAATAAGCAAGAAGTCTTCACGATTGTTCAATTAAACTTATGGTAACCAAGTGAATTCTTACCCTGTATTGTTTGAAGTGTATTTAATCTTCGGTATTTCGATCACTTTTATATCAAATAACACGGATATATTTGCCAAATAAAAAAAAAAATTATCTTTTTCGTCTTTAGCTCTGGTATGAAACCATAAAGAGGTATTTGAAAATCGAACGTTTCGACAAACTCCAAATTAAACTTTTTTATTGTGACACTGAAAAAGATGGTCTGACATCTGACTTTCAATATTTATAGGATTTTGGAGACCAGGTCTTCCAACGGTCTATTGAAATTCCAATAAATACCAATTGTGCCCTGTTATTAGAAGACCTATTTTTTTTATTTATACGAAGAAAAATTTGTTCAAACCTTCATACATGAAAAGAAGAACACACTTACTGTAGCCTTCAACTATAAATTTAGATATATCGACGACGCATTGTCAATTAACAATGATTATTTCCATTGTTATGTCGATACGATATATCCCGGTGAGCTTGAAATAAAAGATACTTTAGAGTCTGACACATCTGTTTCATATTTTTAATATTTTACTTGAAAAGACGTTAATGGTAATCTAACAACTAAGCTCTATGATAAACGTGATGACAAACTTTTCAATCGTCAACTTCTCCTTACTTATGAAGCAATACACCTTCATCGCCTGTATACGGGGTCTTTATTTTCCAGTTCATTCGATATCCAAGAGCATGCTTTATTTATGAACAATTTTACAAAGAGGTAAATGATCGACAAACAAGTTGATGAAACAGGAATATTAGCAGTCTCGTTTAAAGTCATCATTTGGAAAGTTCTATGATTGATACAACGATTATGTCAGTAAATACAATTCGTCATTTAGTCAAGTGCTGCCTCTTTACATACTTATTGTTAGGCCATTTAATACATGAATTGTCGACAGATTTTCCCGTTACTTCGCGATCATGACGAGGAGCACATGGCGGGCGTGACCGGTCGGCAGGGAATGATCACTCCTCCATGGCACTTGATCCCAGCTCTGAGGTCCGTGTTTGCTTTTCTCCAATTTTGTTTGTTTAATAGCTTTTTGAGCTTGAATACTGTTCATTATCTCCATATACCCGACATTTCATCTGTAAATTATAACCAAAGAGGCTTCTTTCATTAATTCTTATGAAACGAGTGACAGTCGTATTCCGCAGCTGTGGCTGTCTTCTTCAGGGCCAATATGACAGAACAGGAAAGGTTTATATTCACAAGTAAACAAATAAAGTTGATTTTCCATGGACTTTTGAGCTCGATTACATTCACTCTATTTCATTTTTGAAAAAAAAGAGATGACTGTGAATAACGTACAATACAAACAAATACACACAGTGTAAATAATACAGCGAAAGTCATATCTGAGATATTCTTATCCTGCTGAGATCAGCTGGCAGAAAAAAATCATAACATTTACAATATGTCAGTTTGTTTGCTAACATTTCTATGGTGCGTCAAAATTTTGACAGATATGTCAAAAGGATGTTCTTCCTATTCCAAAAATTACAAAAAATAGTCAACCAACGGGCAAGGGCGTAAAACGAAGGTGACAATGCCCAATACCATTATGTATACATGTTGTGCATCAATTCTACAAGGCTTTAATCATTGTCACCGATATAAACATTTTTCTGATATTCGAACAATTTCTAAAACAATGTAACCTTTCATTAACAAAGAGTTGATGAAACAAGGATATTGACAGTCCTGTTCAAAGTAAACATTTCGAACGTTTTACTTTTGGTACAATGTCCTTGTCAGATATAACAAAATATGTCATTAAGTCGAACGCTTTTAATTGACGTTTTTCATACTAATTGTAAGACCATTATTCACATACTGAATCGTCTGTGGATATTTTTGTTTGTCCGATCACGAGGAGAAGCATACAGAGAATGATACCAGTCGACAGGGGATGCTTGCTTCTACATGACATCTAATCCAAGTTCATGATTTTATAGGTCATAGTGTTTTCTCTACACACTGCGTGCATTCAATGGACTTTTGGAGATAAATAACTGTTCGATATCTCAATTGTTTACAATAAGCTCTTACATCCAGAGTTTTTACCGATATCAACATTTTTTCACTTACCTCCTCCTTTGTAACAATTATTCTTTAGTGTTATAAAACATAATTTCAATAAGCAATTTAGACTTGATATATAACAACAACCAAGAAGTATGTATAACAACATCCAAGAAGCTGTTTAAAAAAAACTACTAACAGCATTATTATTATGATTTCCTCTAACAACTAATATCATACTTAAGTGGAATCTCTCTTTCCAATAAAATGTTTTTGCTTTATTTTTCCACAAGTTTCACCAAATAAGTTAACTTTTTAGTTGTTAATACAAGATTTCAAATTCTGAGATATATATACTAAGCCATTATTGTATTGCACAACTTTTATATGTTCCAGCTTACTGTGTCCCAGATAATTTTAATAACCTTGATTTCTTTTAATTTCCCTTTGAAATCTTCATCCATGGATACTGATAAGGCTTGTTTTTTCTTTTCAAGCATAAACTTTCATGTTAAGTTTTGTTTTATTAATCAAGAAACATATATTTTCAACATAATTTATTTTGATTTAAGAAATTACATTCACTGTAGAAGATCATATCCATTTTATAAGCTAACTATTCATAGTAGCTGGCTAACTTTCATCGCAACTTAACCAGGAACCAGCCAGCTCTTCTACATTTTTGAACTGTATTTAAATTAAATGTATATCATTATTTTATAAGCTATTGGATCCCGGCATGGTGGATGATGATCATATGTACAGCAAAGTGAAAATGCAGTGAACGTCAATGACCTTCAGTTACTTTCACTCCAAGGGACTACATTCATAATACAACAAAATTTTTGTAATTTTTAAAAAAGTTTTAATTGTTAACACGAATAAAAATATTCACTGTTTTCGAAGCAGAAATACATAATTTACATGTATACTTTTTCTTTGAGTTTCCAACAACGGAAGTTCAGTATGTATATATCATAAACATTTATTTTGGATATGTATTTTAATATTTAGCACTTTACATGTTATATTGTTCAAAATAAATGTTTCGCTGAAGTCAGCTCAATTTAAAATGTTTGTTTGACCTATCCCGACTCAGAATACTAGTAAATAAGTCGGTAGATAGGTGAGAAAATTATTTTTCTCATTGAAAATTTCAGTTTCAATGCTAAGATTTTAAAATATATTTTCTAGAATACAAAAAATGATCGCTTGGCCTGTAGGAAAAAAAGTTTTGAGTCGAGCCATTTTAAGCAAGTTTGGGAGAGAGCAACCAAAAAAATTTTTTGATGGCTTAGTAAAAGAGAGTTGATATCAATTTAAATTCAGTGAAATAAGTACGGAAGCGTAAATGGCTCTACACTTGTTGTGTTATAACTTTGTATATTGTCTTATATTTTAAAATTTATCAATATATAAAGTGTTAATATCCGTTATTCCTTATTTATGTACATATTGTTTTAAGATTTCTTAACATAGTAGAAGGCAACTTCTTTTGTTCAATAGATTTTATTGCTTTAAGTTTTATCGACTGAAATAATATATTGATTTTCAGATATCGATTAAAACAAGATATTTAATCATATCGATATAAAATTGTTGATATGATAAAATAAAGATATAGTCATATCAATTTTAATTTATTAATATTTGCGATAAAGAAGTCAGAATAAAGTGTTTTATAATTAACTTGGCGGGGGCTGTCTTAGATTAAATTGAAATTTTCTTCCTTTTGTCAGCTTTACATGTAGAAAGCTTATGTATCATGTCAGCATGTACGATTAAAGGCAAATAAAAATCAAATTAAAAAGTATATTTAAAAAAGGGAGATGGAGACAAATTGAAAGTTATAGATCACCATAGTGAAAATCTGGCTATTGCACCGATCACCACTTTTGAAGAAGGGGAGACAAGAGTATCTTTGTGCCCCTCATCCAGCTATAAGCCCCCCCCCCCCAAAATAAAAAACTGAGTACAGCAGAGATCCACTGATATGTCCCCAAATTTAAGGTTATTCTCGCACTTAGATTATTAAATCCCTTGGGTGTTTTTCTTGTTATAAATTTATTTTGGCTGACACTACACTTTCCTCCTTTAAACTTTGTGACTAAGCTTATACAGATTGGCTGAAATAACAAATTATTTTATATTATTTAAAGCAATAAGAAGTTAGATCTGGTGTTATTATATTTTTATGCAGGGGGGAGGGGGGCTGTGACAAAATGGCTACACTATTGAGGTTGCATTGATTTCCTGTATCCTATGTATATCACATTTAGTTAAACATCATTTAATATTCTTTACAAAATACATATATAATTAGTGTTACTTTTATAATAGTGTTACCCGGTACTTTATATTTTCAGTGACTCATTAGCCATATAACAAAATTGAACTCAAGAGAAGCTTTCCTAAAAGCAGTGAAAAGTAATATATATATCAATATATTAATCCCCCTTAAAATATATGTACTAAAAGATTTCCTATGACAATGCATATAATTTAACTGTTATGTCTCTCCATCTCCATTTTTTCATGAATATTTTTTGTTTCATCCTATAATCGTACACGATAGCAAATACATGGTACATAAGCTTCCTGAAATGAAGTGAAGGTTAAAAACTCAACCAAGTTAATTCAAAAAGACCTTTTTCTACTTGTGCCCCCTAAATTTCATATATCTATATCGATATAACTGCATTTTTTTCTTTAAATCGCGACAATAATTGATTAACATGAATAAATTTTGTTTATATGAAATTTGAAAATTAGTATAATATTTTAATGCTATTTTAAAGAAAAATTTAAAATTATTTATTACTTTGGAAACATAAATAATTTCATTTTTAATTTAAAGTAATATACACCTTTAAATACAATTTCGAAATTTGCGACATAAAGAGTTAGATATTATAGTACCAACAGCGTGCGCAACGTCAAAAAGTTTTTAGTCGAGTCATTTTTGCAAGTTCGGGAGAGGGAAAGCATAATAATTTTTTGAATGCCTTATAACACAAGAGAGTTGATATCAATTTAAATTCACTGAAATAAGTAATAAGACAATCTAATATTTTTAAAACAAAAAATTAGAATTATCGAATGTAGAATGCGAATTCTTCTGATTACATCAAAGAAGGTAAGACTGTAAGAAGAAATTCTTACCAAAATTAGTTATTTTTTCTATGGAGCTGAAAACTTCAAAATGTAATTTTCCTTGCTGATCTTTGTGCATGTTTGTATATGCTTTTATTTTATTATTTCCTTAAATTGAATTGTCATATGTTCACATATTCAAATAAAATATTTTTTCCCGATTTATTGACAAAAAATTCTTTTTAAACTGAAATAAATCGCTATCTATACATTTCGGCGATAAAGATGCTAATGATAACTTGAGGAAGCAACAGACAGCGAGATACAGAAAAACTAATCTAAGCAAATAGCTAAAAATATCAGAACCTTCCCTGAGAACATAAGTCATTTTCTTGCTACAGGAAAGATCACTCCCACACACACACCATCAAAACATAAAGAAAGAGGTGCACAATGAGATTGACTGTATAAAATACAGATTGTATGAATTTTTTTTTCGTAGTAAAGTAGTTGTGGAGATGTAAGGAGTGGCAACCTTTACAATATAGAAAGAATGACAATGTCCAGATTTTGCAATTTAAAAAAATCGAAATATATGTCTAACTCAAGATAATATATTGTTAGATTTATCCTCGGCGAAACAGAACTGACCACAACCTTTATGTGACCACTTACCTTGCTCAAAAACAGCCACCACCCTGCCCCGAGTTTAATTGTGCCGAGGGTCGAACATCGGTAGCACTGATTCTTTTCCTGATTGCTTTTGACGTGGTATTCTTTAAAACCTTCAGGTTCAATTTTAATTCCTCCAATCGCTGATGTAGTTTATCTATTTCGTGTTCCTCGATTGGTATAGAACCGATCATTCCGCAAGGACACGTACACTCTGTAAAAAAAAATGTTACTTCTATTAATATTCTTTAGATATTTAGAGATTCAACTTGGGAAAGACGTTAATTGTAATATAAGAACTAAGCTTTAAATATGACAAACGAGATGACTACTCTCGACGATATGTCATCTTCCCTTACTTACATGTGTGCAACAATATAAGGACAGGTCGACAGGGGAGGCTCACTCGTCCATGGCACCTGATCCTACCTCTGAAGTTTTAGAGGGCTTTTACTGTTTGTTTTCTTCATATATTTTATTGTATTCACAAAATGTTCTTGACGTAAGATAGGAAATAAAAACAAAAATGACTCAGAAGTTATATTTAGGATTAAGCCAGGTTCTTGGCGAAAGCAAACGCGTCGAATTCTCTAATATAACTGTAATGCAATTTAATCAAATAACGCACATCCCACTTTTGGACTTAGGCTGCGCTAATCGAGAAGAATGTAACATCATGATTTGTTTCGACTAGTATATGCGTCGATTTCTTAAAGCTTAACACGATTCATAAAAGGAATGTGTCGCTTTATCTGAGAACCCCTATATAAAGCGGCTGACTGTCGATGTTCAATATAATCAGTCGTCACCGTTGTACCCGGACAAATCTTATACAGCACTCGGTAGGACAAATAGTAATTATGTATAATTGTGTATAATTATTTTCAAATGCAGATGAGTAAAATACCAAAGAAACTAACTAGAATTTCACAGGTCAGTGCAGTGTACAGAGTAACAAAATACACATAATTGCAATACAATGTAAATAAAGGTAAAAAAAAATGACCAACACGAACACGGGTCGCCATTACACGCCGGTATGCTTGATATTAAAACAGTCACGGGTAACAAATGCGAAAAGTACATTTATATTAACAAGAGGCCCAGGGGCCACAGCGCTCACCTGAGCACATCGGGCTTGAATGTACTCCCCCCCCCCCTCCAGGTGTTCATCATTTAAACAAACTAGAATCTACACTACTTGAGGATGATTCCATATATATATCACTAATCATAGCTTTGAAGTACTTGAAAAGAAGATTTTAAAAGGTTTCCCTATATATCCCTATGTAAAACACGGCGGGTGTGACCGGTCCATTTTGGCCCCACCCTAGCACACCTCTGAACTTTTAGGGGTCATGATTTGAACAAACTTGTTTTAATCTACACTACCTGGGGATGATTCCACATGAGTTTTATCTTTCCTGGCCCAGTGGTTCTGGAGAAGAAGATTTTAAAGATTTTTCCTATATATTCCTATGTAAAACTTGTGTTTAGCCATTTTGGCCCCACCCTTGCCCCGGGAGGCGTCATGATTCTGAACATAACTGTGTTGCGACTACTTAGGATCAAATTCCACATGAGTTTCATCTTTCCTGGCTCAGTGGTTCTGTAGAAGAAGATTTTTAAAGATTTTTCCTTTGTAATCCTATGTAAGACTTGGGTCGGCCATTTTGGCCCCACCCTTGCCCCAGGGGTCATGATTTGAACAAACTTGAATCTAAACTACCTGAGGATGCTTCCACATGAGTTTCATCTTTCCTGGCCCAGCGGTACTGGAGAAGAAGATTTTTTTAAAATGCATTTAATTCTTAACAAATTCATGATTATCTCCCCTTGGAAAAGGGCGTGGCCCTTCATTTGAACAAACTTGCTTGAATCCCCTTTAAAAAATGATACTTTGTGCCAAGTTTGGTTCAAATTGGCAGTGGTTATATGTAGAAGAAGATGAAAATGTGAAAAGTTTACGCCGACGACGACAACGACGACGACAACGACAGACGACGGACAAATTTTGAAAAGGCGTATGTCTAAAAATTACAAGTCATCTTCAGCTTTATACTCACTGAGAGATGCCGGTACATTATTTGTGTATGATTATTAGGGTAAGATATATATTAACCTTTAATTTGATATATTTTACCCATAAATATTAGGGATGACGCCTATAAAAAATACCAAGAAGACATTCTTAGTTCTTACTTTTACAAACTGGCGGATCACCATTCCATTCTCCTTCTATGGTACATGTTTGATTAAGGTTCCCCTCTTCGTAATAACTTTCGGGGATACATTTGTAATTCACGGTTCCTCCAATGCTCAAGTTTTGGTGAAGAATTTCAACATTGCTGATATTGGTCTCTGCGCACGTTATAACTTTAAAAATAAATATATGTACATAAAATGCAAATAATAAAGTTCACAACAAAATATAAATAGATGATTATTATTTTTTGCTGTCGCAGAACAATTTTAACCGAGAAATTAAATTACAATTACTGCATTCCTAATTATTAATGAAAATCAGAAAATCACCTTCGCATATAAGAATTTCGCCATTCCAGTGCCCAGCATCATTACACGTCAGAGTTGTGTTTCCTGACAAGTAGCGATATCCCGGCATGCATTGTAGATGAATCTCATCGCCAAGAGCATAGATTGATTCATTACATTTGTTGTACTTCTTGATAACTGATACTTCGATATCAATGTATGGTCTATAAACGCAAATCGGCACTATGGTGTAAAAAAAAAGATAACATTATTGCTAAAAATGATACTTTTCACTTGATCAGAAACAACATACTGTAGCACGAAATTACAATATACTGCAGCACAAAATTAATATTAATTGTAGAAATAAACTAACCCGCTATATCGTGAACGCTGATTAAGATATCCACATTGTCGGTCATTTGTTTCCTATAGCCCCATCCCCACATTTCCCCCATCATAAAGATTGCAGCTTCCTTCATTTTTCTCTTGTATGGGTGGGGAATCCAGAAAGCCACTGATGTGTCATTGTATCCATAAATTAGTCCTCCATAAGGGGCAGACTCAGTCATTACAGAACCTATACCGTCAAACCGAAAATTCTTGTTAGGACCGTCCCGCACTTCCATCTGTAAAACAGAGATGGAGAAATTTGATAACAAGTATTAGAATTCGATTTCACCATCAATCAGGGTAGATGTAGTATCTAGGAATACGTTTTTCGATTTAGATACGTCTACTGTAAATTTGATCGACTGATGAAAGGTGTTGGCAAACGTAATGAATGCCTCGAGGCTCTCGCGACATTCCACCCACTTCATCTCTATATCGTCAATGAAACGCAACCAGCTATGGGGCCTAAATGGTGCTTGAAGTAACAAGTTGCGTTCCAGTCTGCCCATGAAGACATTGGCATAAGACGGTGCCATTTTCGTACCCATAGCAGTGCCATTAACCTGCAGGTAATGTTCTCCATTAAACATGAAGTTGTTGAACTTGAGAACATGTTCAAGGAGCTTAGCAAGGGACTCTGTAGAAGGAATTTGTATGGATCTACTATCCCAGACTTCTCTACAGGCTTCGATACCCTCATCGTGCGGAATATTGGTGTACAAGGATGTGACGTCCATAGTCACGAGGAGGGTATGATCTGAGAGGCCAGTAGAGGGCGTCTTGTTAATGTAGTCCGTGGTGTCCTTGAGATAGGATGGCAAATTCTCTACGTGTGGACGGAGATGTAAATCAATAAATTCAGAAATTTTCTCCGTGGGGTGTCCAATTGCGCTGACTATGGGGCACCTGGCATGCCTTCTTTGTGTATTTTAGGAAGCAGATAGAATTGTCCTGGTCTACAGTCAATAGGATTTAAGGTCTCATAGACGTTGATACCAATCTCATTTTTCTCAAACATATCGTCAAGAGATTTGGTAATGGCGGTGGAGAATTCTTTAGTGGGGTCAGAGTCTGCACTTATGCAAAAGAGGCTACAATGCCCGCACCGTACAAACAGCTATTGATGAGATGGCAGGACATGACAGGCAAAACCTATTACGCTACAAGGAGAAAGACAATAGCGGTAGGGTCCCTCTGGTAACCACATACCATCCCGTCCTTAAGAACCTTAGCGGTATCCTTCAAAAGAACCTACCAATTCTCCATTCAAACAAACGAATGGCAGAGGTCTTTAAGGAACCCCCATTGGCTGCATACAGACGCCCAAGGAACCTAAAGGACATGGTAGTAAGAACCAGACTGGACAACCCATTACCTAACGGGGGCTTTAAAACTTGCTCTGACAGAAGATGTCTTCTTTGTAAGCACAGTACTGACACAGACAGTTTTAACAGCCCTGTCACAGGCCGCAGCTACAAAATACTAGGGAATTTGTCCTGTCATACTGACAACTGCATTTATCTCATCAGTTGCAAAGTTTGCTCCAAACAGTATATTGGTGAAACAGGAGATCTCCGCAGGAGAGTCAATAACCACCGTTCGACCATTAGGACCAAAAAACTCAATGAACCCGTTGGGGAACATTTCAACCTTGAGGGTCACAAATGGGAGGACATGACAGTAGTGGTGATTGACCATAACCCAAGATGGACAGATGCTCAGAGAAAAAGCAAAGAAAAGTTCTGGATGCACAGATTGAAGTCATTCCGCCCTAATGGTATTAACAAGCTGAATGACTTCACCAGAATGAACGTAAACTAGACCCAATTCCTGATGATACCAAACAAGATTATTCTCTCAATTTAGTGTAAACTCTACAGTTAATTTGCGCACCAACTCTCGAACAACCCACATAACTATATATTGCTTTCGCCTTTGTTAATTATTTCTTATTTTTTACCGATAATTAGTCTTAAAACATTTCAAAATTTATAATGGATCATAATTCATATGTTTAAATATCCCTGCCATTTATATCTTTGATTTTTCTTTATTAAGTAAAGTTACGCCATTTTGAGAGAATGAAACAATGTACGATTTACTGATTGTCGTAATTAATTAGCATAATTAATTCGTTCAATTATGTAAATCGCACTTCACCCGAGTATACCCGATAGAACGGACGCATTTCATAGCGGTCCGGATTTCTTTCTTTATTATTGTTCTTAAAAATCTCGAATTCAACATGTAATTAATTATGTAAATATCTAGTGTTTAGTAGTTCAGTAGTAGTGCTAGTTGTTTTTGTTTCTATTTTTCCTTTGTTCTTATGACTTTTTAACTTTTCTTCTTTGTCCTGAGGAAGGGACAGGGCGTCCCGAAAATTTGACAATTTTTATTGTTCGTGTCGTTGGTCATTTTTAGTGCTATATATATATATATATATATATATATATATATATATATATATATATATATATATATATATATATATATATATATATATATATATATATATATATATATATATATATATATATATATATATCCAAAAGAAATGAAATATCTCAGTGTCCTAATCAATGTTATAATAAAATAAAAAGAAAATATAAAGGAAATAATAGGTTGCTTTAAAAAATATGTCAAAAACTTGCTTTTCGATTAAAACTAGAATCTGCGGCGCTATCATACAACTATCAATTATTTGAGAAAATTTAGTGAATTTTCTATTCCTGACATTTCAATTTGATGGATATAAAGGTTCTGTCTGTCTCTTAAATATATTGCATGAAGATTGTTTTATATATATATATATATATATATATATATATATATATATATATATATATATATATATATATATATATATATATATATATATATATATAAATATATATAAAATATATATATATATATATATATATATATATATATATTGTGTGTGTGTGTGTGTGTGTAATCTGTAAAAGTTCATAGAGAATTAGACCTTTATAAAATTAATATACATTTTTCTTTTGTCTTTAATTTTAATCAAGAAATTCTTTTACGATTAATGCCTCACTCCAAAAAAAGCCGGTGGAACCTGAAATATTTTGCCATGGCTTTTGAAACAGAAGGAAATGTCATTTCAAGGTACAATCAACTTCTCCTGATTTCCTGCAACATATAATTTATGTAAAGGTTTTTTAAAAATTAAAAATAAGGCTTTTTGTTTTCCAAGTGTAATGGAAATAATTGGAATATAAGACACTGGACACAGGCAAAAACGAATATAACACCTCTATCCAGAATACATCAACGATTTCAATGACACCAATTAATTTCAACTCCGCTTCACGACGATGCTCTAACTAGAGGCCCATTCTGGTACCTCCACCACCCTTTCCAAAATAGAGGGTGGGTGGGTTATTTTTTGCAAGTCGTATATGGTACATGGAAGAATAAGGGCTACCACATAGATCCTTTTAGGTAATGTGGATTTTAAAAAAAAGTCAAAAGGCAAAACCGTCTTCATGGTAAGTTAGGGCAATTCGTCTGCAACTTTATGACCGACCATAAAACGGTCAACGTTTCGAAATGATATTGCCAAAGAAAAGTTTTCCGTAGTATATATATTTATATATTTACATTTCCAATAAATTTCCCCATGATTCTTTACAAAATAAAATGCAGTATATTTTCTCATGAACTACATCACATATGTACCACGAATCAGCATGAATATCTCCATTGTTACATCATATTACCGCACTTGACGTCAAAAATATAGTCCACACTTATTTGCTTTAAAAATGACAGTTGAATGGCAAATATCTATGACAAGAATAATAATGGGTTAATTTTTGAAGATGCAAAGTGTAGAACTACAACGTGGCCGGTATATTTAGTTCATAACCTCATGAATCTTCAAAAATCAAATTCATTTCTTAAATATAATAGCACCAAGACAAAAAGTCCACTTATACAACACAAACAAGGAGCAAATCAAATACAGTTCCAAAACATCATAGGCGGGTTAAAATTGAGTAGTGGGAATCCACTAATTCGTCCACATCCGCCAAAAATCGGGAATCGAAATAACAGGAAAATCAGTCGATAATGGCCTAACAATTAGTTTAAAGTAAGTAAACATTTGTCTTAATGATAGATTGAATTTGACCACGAGGTCATTGTATCGACCATAGACATACAAAATGAAGGCTTTTAACATAGAGCTAAAGCAGTTTGCTCTAGGTCTATGCTTTTAAAGAAACAGTTGGCTTTCTTGTTCAGTTACTCGTCATATATAAAACCCAAGCCACCATATAAGACACCTCCATCGTCATCCTTCTGAGCGGATCCAAAGCCAGGAAAGACCCACCCGTCTCTTGGTTTGGCTTCGACCTTAACCAGGAAAGGAAGGTCACCCAGACCGCGTGGATTTAATTTCCCAGAGCTTGACAAGTCGGCTGTCATGGTGATCCACTCACTTATAAAGCTTGGTGTAGTAGACATATACTCTGCCTCTGATAAAGAAATATTGTTGCATATTAATTTTTATTTTCATACGAATTACCCTCCTGCTTGATTGAGAATGAATAAATTTGTAGGGAATATTTATTCTGCCCTTCATTTTCTATATATTTTTTTTAATTTACAAGAACGCCAAAGCGACTCCTTAAAGGATTACTAATTATATTTTAAATCGATTTATTAATTCAGTTCAAGCTTTAAGTTATAGATCCAGTCTCCAGTAATCTGAAGCCTTTAGAAAAATATATATGGCATGTGTGTGGAACCATTCGAATTTATATAAACAAATTAATTTAAGTAACCTGGAAGCTTCATTAATGTGGACAATTTGCTCCTGAACACAAATGCCCAGATTAAGAATCTGTAGTTCTTACCAGAGGGAACAGAAATCCATAAAAGAACTATTTGTAATTTTCTTCAAATGTCTTCGTGTCCTATCATTATTTTCCTTCGAAGACAACTAGAACTTGTATTAACATGTAATCCTTAAAAGACACTTTTATAATATTATTGAATTTCTTGATTGGATCACTTTGGCAATTTAAATTATACATTAAAAGAATAAAGAGAAGGATAATTGTTAACATTCATATAACTAGGTGCATATGCAGATGGTTATCCTGAATATGTAAAAACCCCATTTGCTTTTTCAAAAAGTGCCAAAAAATCATTGAAAATATACTAAGTTAATTGACATTTTTCTAGTCCGTCTAAATCATTTTGAACCATTTTTTTTTAGTTTTAAGTGTATGGGAATCCGAAATAATGATTTCTTGACACCCCTTTGTCTGACGTGTGTCTCAGGATCTATTACATCAGAAAGAATAAAGACAGAGCTTTGTAATTAAACACCTGATAGACTGCAACTTTCTCTTATGATCTGTTTCAGATATGCATGGATTATAAAATCCTCCCCTTGGGTCCAGCACACATGATTAGAATTCCAAATTTGGTTTGTAAGAATTAAAATGAATTGAATGTGTGGCGGATGTAATCATCAAACACGTGAGTATGATCTCCTTTTCAAAACGGAAGAAACAGGTACAACAACTTAACAAAACCAAAGAGAAAGACATTATTGAAGAATTCCTTATTAAATCCACGTCTGTATTGATACTAGAAGAACAAGTTAGGCAGTATACAAGGACATTCTACCAAGAGTTGATTACGTCACGTTCATCTGATTCTGAAGGGGGTGAGCGGCTGGCAAATTATTTTTAAGTTAAGATTATTTATTTTCATGCTAGTCAAGGACATTTTTTTATTTTCAAGAAGTTCAAAGACAGTTAGATTATTGTTTTATTATTCACTAAAAAAGCTTGATAAGAAAATTAATAAATGAAAAAAGAGAAATACTATGTAAATTAAAAAAAATTATTCAGAAACTTAATGACGTATGGATGCTTGCATAGGGAATATTTTAAGATTTTCAAGGCGATAAAAATGCAAAAAGAAAAGAATGTCTTTGCAAATGGAAGAAATCATGTATTGATTAATTTGGTACCCTAAATATGTTTTTTTTTTAGTTTTTACAGATTTCTCTGCACAATTGAGAATGTTGATTTCATCAAATTTTTTTTTCAAACCGAATAATTCATTTGAATTTGTTACTCTTTTATTTTCCCTTCATAAGAAAAAGTGAAGTTCGATAGTTGAAGACACCAGTTGAAAATTCTGCGTATAAAAGGTACATTCTGAAAATAAACTTTTAAAAAAATATTTAAATGATCCTCACACATACATGTTGTCACCTAATAGTAATGAGTTAAATCTAGCTATAAATGCTGTTGCAAGTTTTCTGATCGAGACGCAAAAAGCTATAAGGAAAAATTATTTTACCAGAACGGTTTTAAAATATATTTTAGTGATTGAAAAATGCACACACTATCACAGTTTAGAAAAAGATATACGAACATAAATCAAAACTTGTAGTTTGTTCGTAAATCAGTTTCTCGTTTTTACATTTTCGTCGTTTACGGCAAGTTTTTCGTATTTTCAAGATCTATATGTAAGCATTATACTTAAAAAATATAGTATTATGAAATCATGAAAACTATCCTCTGGATTAGCTGTCAAAGGTCTGTTGATAGACGTATTGTTTTGAATATCAAATAGTATCAAACATTTTTTTCAAACTATTTTTGACTAAAGAAAAGTTAAGGAGTATTGCTAATTATAAAGCAGTTTTGCTGCACTCCTGACTGCAGTAAAATCTAAAATTAAAGCAAAGATCACAAAAAATGTTGGCAACATCAAGTGTTCAAGAAATTGTGCAATATTATTGTGCAATATTCATAATCAAATGGTCAGTGTCATAATTAAAAGATATGAACGTATTTCATATCTCGGTAAAAGAAAAACCTTGCTGATATTTATAGTTGTCAGATAAAAATATATTTTCCTTTATAGGGCAATTACAGTGAACAACCAGAAACATTCTACTGACCATTTTTTAAAAGTGTTTATTCAGTTGTAATTCTAACATATTTGTTGCGCTCCTGACCAAGAGCATGGGAGTCTTAAAAGTAGAATTGTGAAGTGAAAATTAGTATGTATATATCGAGTAGGTATCCATGGGAATTTCAATAGACCGTTGGAAAAGCCAGTCTCCAAAAATAAAAATCATGCACATATTGTCAATTCAAAACTCAAGCATCTTTTTAATATTAATTTCAGAGTACTTGTATAAACAATTAGAATGCTTATAAAAATGATTTTGCAAATGACCAATGGCAAGGTTAGAAAATTTACGGGTTCCACTTTTGTTGAAAAAGCAACTGTCAATGATATCAACAAGCATGGACTCTAATTTACCTTGGGGAATTGTTGTATATATAAAATTTTAAAAAAGGACAAGAAAGGGTAATAGCCGAATCTGGCCCCTTTTTTGATGTAAAAATCAGAAGACTGGTAAGATTGTGATAGTTTGTAGTTAAGAAGTTAAACTGATGCTCACTTCAAAACAAGCACTAAGTTAGATTCAAAGCTTACATGGAATCCACTAGAGGGGGCAGAAATAGGACATTTTCTAGAATTTCCTCAATTCTGGTGGAATTTCATCATATTTGAGATACTTTTCTCTTCGAAAAACATAGAGCACAAGCTTCCCTATCTGAGATTTTTACACATAAACTGCATCTGATATTAGTGTATAAAATATATTAATTTGGTAGATAGGCAAGTGTGTGCTGTATGTTTTTTCAAAACAAAATGTACTGTAATATCGATGAAAATTTGCATAAAAATAAGAAATTGTGAAAATTGACCTATTTCCTGACCTCACTGTGACTTCTGTATTATTTTAAATCTTAGAACCAATACCCATTTTGTGGCAGGGGTGACAAGAGGTTTTTATGTATAAAATGTTGCATTATTCTGAAAGACACCAAAAATCGGGGTGCCAAATACTGGACTTACCCTATATTGTCCTTCAATGCTGTGGATCTTAAAAAAAGATGTATCGTAAGACAAAAAAATATGGTCAGGGTCCCTTTTTCTACGATGAATTACATATATTAAATCTACAATTATTTTGGTTATTGTCCGCGCTTTCGCGAAAGCGTGGTGACATAAAATCTCATTTGTATGTCCGTCTGTCAGTTTGTCCGTCTGTCAAAAAAACTTTAACCTTCATTGGTAATATCTTTTGAATGAGAAGAGATAGGGCTTTCATGATATTACATATGTGTATTACCTGTGAAAGACCTTTCTAAATACACTTTTATTTTAGACCCCGTAACCTTGACCATGGGGTGTGACCTACTTTTTTTTTAAAATTTAAACATTACTATGAATTTACCAAAAGTTTTGAATGAGAAGAGATAGGGCTTTCATACCGAAATGTGCATTACCTTTGACAATAATTTTCAAAATATACCATGATTTTTGACTCAGAGACCTTGAAGTTTGAGCTACTTTTCAAAAACTTTAACTTTGGCCATAACTTTTGGATGTGAAGATTTAGGGCTTTCAGCTTTCTCATGTGTATTACCTGTGACACGACCTTTCTAAACACCCTATGATTTTTGAGCCCTGTGACTTTGACCTTGTCGGTTTGATCTTCTTTTCAAAAATGTTATTTTTTTCGTATAACGTTTGATAGAGAAGATGCTTTCACATTTGAAATTTGTATTACTCGTGACAAAATACTTCATAGCAAGCTATGATTTCTGATCCCTTGAATTTGACCTTCATTTTTGACCTAATTTTAAAAAAATCAAATTTGGTGATAACTTTTGAATGGCATATGATAGAGCGTTCATATTTGACACAAAGTGCCATAAATAATGACATCTCACCCACAAATACACCGAAAAGAAGATTGTAGGAAAATAGTGAATAGTGTCTATAGTTTGTTGTGTGTATAACTTTGAAGAATACTGCATTATCCACGAATTTTTAGACCCTATGATAGCAGAGTTCGGTGTAGCTTGTTACCGTTTGTTTTTTATGTAGAATAAGCGGGTCTTAGTAGTGAAGGATATGCATGTCAGAGGAATCTTTCTTATATGGCTATTTTTATTATTTCGCACATACATAGTCACTAAACAGAGAACAATTGTCCAATCCGATGACTGAAAGACAAAACTTGCTGGTTTACTAGATATTATATTTTATCACAGCCACGTGAATAATGTCAATTAACACATTATTTCCACTACATTTCATACTTTAAATGTTCAAAGAAAATCTTTTTACGCATGACAATACTGCAGTACCAATGGAACCTCAGCGTCTATCGTTTTGGACTTTTGCATTGAAATGCATATGAAAATATCCTCAGATCGAAAAGCAAGTAAAAGAAAGCCTTTTTTCTTTGGTATTTTGTATATCCTCTATCTGTATATAATGGGAAATGCCAGCAAAACTTTACAATATTTCAAGCATAACAAATGAGCGCAATTAGGTACAATGTTCTCCTTTCACATATAGGTAAATTTCAA